GCCCCCGCTCCCGAGGTCGCTTGCGCCGCCGTGCCTTCCCTGCGTCGAGGGGCGGCAGCGCGCCGCTCATCAGTCCTCCTCGTTTCCTCCGACCACAGCTCCTCTGCAGACCCTCCACATGGACGTGCGGGGTCCAGCCCGTGTCACTAGACAGGGCGGAGAGCGCTACTTTTTGCTGGTTGTAGATGACTACTCGCGCTACACCACGGTCTTCCCCTTGTAAAGCAAGGTGGATGTCCGCAGTGCGTTGATCCGCTGGATCCGTGCAGTCCGTCGCCAGCTCAGCGCTCGGTTCCAGCAGGACCTCCCGGTCCTGCGACTGCACTCTGACCGAGGTGGTGAGGTTTCCTCCCGCCTCCTCGAGGACTTATGTGGTGCTGAGGGCATCATCCAGTCGTTCACGCTTCCGGCCTCTCCGCAGCAGAATGGGATTGCAGAGCGCCGCATTGGCCTGGTCATGGAGGTTGCTCGCACCTCCCTTGTCCATGCGGCTGCTCCCCATTTTCTGTGGCCGTTTGCGGTCCAATACGCCACTGAGCAGCTCAACCTCTGGCCCCGTGTCTCCCACCCGGAGACGTCCCCTACTCTGCGGTGGACGGGCGAGGTTGGTGATGCGTCGGCGTTTCGGGTATGGGGTTCCCTCTCTCTTGTACGCGATCTGCCCGCGAGCAAGCTCTCTCCACGCACTCTTCGGTGCGTGTTCCTCGGCTTCCCCACCGACGCACCGCCCTGGCAGTTTTACCACCCAGGCTCTCGTCGTGTCCTCTCCTCCCAGGACGTCACCTTTGATGAGTCTATCTGCTTCTACCATCTCCACCCCCACCGCAGTTCCCCCGTGCCCCTCCCGCCTCTCTCCTTGGTACCCGACCCCCCCCTGGTAGCCCCCCTCCCCCCACAGGGTCCTGCTCCCTCAGGTGTGTCTCAGGTAGACTTACCCCCCTTGGTTGAGCCTTTGGAGGTCTCCTCTGAAACCTCTGGCCCAGCTGAGGGGGGTGACCCGACTGCTGCCGACACTGTGGCCACTCGCCGCTCAGCGCGCTTGGCGGCCTCTCCTGGGTTTCCGCCTCGACCGTCTTCACCGCCTCGGCAGCCCGTCGCTGTGGACTCTGGTGCTGCTGGAGATGGTGACACTGGGGGTGCGGCCTTTGGGGGTGCTGGCTCTGGGGGTGCTGAGTGTCCTATGGGTACAGGAGGTGCTGGAGGTGCTGCTGCTGGAGGTACTGTGGTTGGAGGTGCTGGTGATATTGGTGCACGTCGGCAGGAGACTCTCTCGCAGGAGCGGCTTCGCGAGTGGGCTGTCCGGTGGGGCAGCCCCGGTGGTGGAGCTGGACGTGCTGGAGCTGGAGGTGCTGGAGGTACTGGAGCTGGAGGCGCTAGTGCTGGAGGTACCGGTGCACGTCGGCATGGGACTCTCTCGCCGGAGCGGCTTCGCGAGTGGGCCGTCCGTTGGGGCAGCCCCGGTGGCGGAGCTGGACGTGCTGGAGCTGGCGTTCCTAGTTCTGGAGGTACTGGTGCTTGAGGTACTGACGTTGGAGGTGCTCGTGTTGGAGGTACTGGAGTTGATGGTGCTGGAGGCACTGGTGCTACTGGTACTGGAGGTACTGGCACTGGAGGTGCTACTTCTGGAGGTACTGGAGTTGAAGGTGCTGGTGCAGGGGGTGCTGTTACTATTGGTGCTTGAGGTACTAGTGCTGGAGAGTCTCGTCCTGGGGCTGGAGTTTCTAGGGGTGCGACTACTCAGCATCAGCCGTCTGCTCTTCGCCACCTTCTCAGTCTCCCGCCTGCTGTTACTGAGTTTCCCGTTGCTGGTACTACTCCTCCGTTACTGTTTCCACCGGCTGACCCTTCTCAGCCCCTGTTACTGCCTGACTCCCCGCTACCTGCTCCTGCTCCTTACTCTGAGGTGACAGAGTCCTTGACTGAGAGTAGAGAGCCTGCGTCGCGTCCTGTGATGCCTGTTCATCCTCGTCGTGCTCCTCGTACTCGCCCTCCACTTGTCCCAGGCACTCACATTATGGCACTTCGTCCTTCTTCTGTTCCACAGCGTGTTGTCCTGCCGTCGCCTCCTGTGTCTTCTCTTCCTCACGTCCCTGACCCTGAGTCTGACCTTGCTCGTGCTGCTAGTCCGACTGTCACTCGTCTCCTTGCCACGACTGTGACTGACCCTACGCTTTCGTCGCCTGCTGCGTCTGCCTTAGTCGCTGAGCTAGTTGACTTTGCTGCTCTGTACCGCCTTGACTACGCTGCGAGTCTTGTTTTTGACTCTGACTGTCCTCCGTCCGTCGGGGGTGAGCTTGCCCTTGGCTGTGACGTCCTTGAGGACAGGCATTTTGAGCTGGATTGCCTAGCGGCTACTGCACCTCACCTCGCTACCATGCTACTCTGCCCTGAGGGAGACCCGGATGCACTGGACATCCCGGCCCCACGCTCTTACGCAGAGGCGATCACGGGTTCGTACTCCTCTCAGTGGCAGATAGAAATAGACGCAGAGATGGCTTCCTGGAAGTCCACAGGCACCTACGCCGACAAGGTTCCCCCTCCTGGGGCAAACATAGTCGATGGCATGTGGATTTTCAGAGTGAAGCGGCCGCCGGGTTCTCCGCCTGCCTTCAAGGCGCGCTACGTTGCACGAGGCTTCACTCAGCTTGAGGGGGTCGACTTCTTCCAGACCTTCTCACCCACCCCGAAGATGACCACTCTTCGGGTGTTATTGCACGTTGCAGCACAGCGTGACTACGAGCTGCACTCCCTCGACTTCTCGACAACCTTCCTGCAGGGCAGCCTTCACGAGGCGATCTGGCTGCGCCGCCCTCCTGGCTTCACTTGGTCGTTTCCTGAGGGTACCCAGTGGAGCCTCCGGCGACCAGTCTACGGTCTACGACAGGCGCCCCGTGAGTGGATGGCCACACTGAGGACTAGGCTTGCGGCTCTTGGTTTCGCTCCCTCGACAGCTGACCCTTCGCTGTTTCTGCGCACAGACACTTCTCTGCCGCCGTTCTACGTCCTCGTGTACGTCGACGACTTGGTTTTTGCTACTACTGAGACTGAGGCACTGGCCCTAGTGAAGGCAGAGCTGCAGGAGAGACACACCTGCATTGACCTGGGTGAGCTTCGGAGCTATCTTGGCTTGTAGATCACCCGGGACAGAGCACGATGCACCATCACCCTGACTCAGTCACACATGGTGCAGCAGGTCCTTCAGTGCTTCGGCTTCCATTTCTCCTCACCACAGCCCACTCCTCTGCCTACAGGCCACTCGCTCTCAGCTCCACCTTCGGACGAGTCCGTAGAGCCGAGTGGTCCGTATCCAGAGCTTGTGGGTTGCCTCATGTACTTGATGACGTGCACACGACCTGACCTCGCATACCCTCTCAGCCTCCTTGCTTGCTACGTTGCGCCCGGTAGACACCGGAAGGAGCACTGGACAGCTGCACAGAGGGTACTGCGTTACTTGTGCAGTACATCAGGCATGGGGCTTGTGCTTGGGGGACGGGGTCCAGTTGTTCTCACCGGTCACTCAGACTCTTCTTGGGCTTACGACCAGACGACTCACCGGTCGATACAGGGTTACAGTTTCAGCCTCGGCACTGGTTCTGTCTCGCGGCGGTCCACTCGCTCGTCTTCTGTACTTAGTTCCAGCTGTGAGGTCGAGATCTACGCTGGGGCTATGGCTACACAGGAGCTCCGCTGCTTGACCTACCTGCTGACCGACTTGGGTGAGCGGCCTCGTTCTCCTCCAGTTCTGTACGTCGACAACAAGGCCATGATTGCCGTGTGTCAGGACCAGAGACTGGAGCACAGAACGAAGCACATTGCGCTTCGTTACTTCCTCGCACGAGAGTTGCAGTAGCGTGGTCAGCTTCGCCTTTTGTACGTGGCCACACAGGCCAACACTGCTGATGTCTTCACCAAGGCCCTCAGGTCTGGTGATCATCAGCGTTTCTGCACTGCTCTTGGGCTTGTTCCCACTCTGCCTCACCTGATTGTCTCTTGATCTTGCCTTGCACTTGTTGTACTCTGAGATATATCATTATACCTGCGTGTTTACACTTGCTAGGTTGTTATCAGTGTATTGCAATTGCTATTATAAACTCTGCATGTGAACTGGCCTTGTGGCCACTTGCTTGTGCTCGGACTGCGTGGTGATCTTGAGATCCACCCTGAGCTTTGCTTTGTTTGCTTCTCTTGACTGGTCTTGTGACATCTTGTTGTTCCCCACTTCGCCTATGGGGGTGTGTCAAACATACATTGTTAGGCTGTAGTGGGTTACTTCCTATGGAGTACAACCCTTGTTAGGGTTGTTACTTGTACCACATTTCCTGCTTAGTCAAACCATTTTTGTTTCCTATTCTCACAGTACTCTCCTCTAAAGCCTCTCCATGTTTCAGCCTGCGGATCCTGGCAATGGTACGGTAGTTTTCTCCATGTGCCGAGTGAACATGGTAGGAGCAAGGGCAGCTCTTTGATGTTCAATAACAACTCATGCACAAAATGTACAGAGACTGATGAATAGTGCTTCAAAGTGGTGAAGCGTGTTGGAATTAAGGTTAATTCGGGTTGCTCCAATAAACATATGTAGTGATACATCTACACTATAGTAGTGTAGAATACATTGGTTGGGTTGGGAGAACTTGTGGTGTACACTCTATAGAGTGGACCACCTCCCAAACCCTATAGGTTAGGGTTCTCTCTTGTTGGAACTTCACTTCTTGGAAACCACTTTGGTTCTAGCATGGTTCATGCCCAAGTGGGCTCCTAAGATTCCTAGGCTTTAGGAGGAGGTTCTAAGACTACTAAAGCTTCCGCTAGTAGCTTAGTCCATTATAACATGGTATCAGAGCTAGGAAGGCCTAGCAATCTGTTGGAATAGGAGTTACTCAAGACATCGGACCATAATATCTTGGTGGAAGCTATTTAGCTTCCATCCCTCCCGAAGGGCTGCCGAAATTGCACCGTGGCGGACTCTGGACGTGGGAAGGAAGGAGGAGGTTGAGGAGTGGATGATGAGGGTATTCAAAGGACTACCTCCTCACTTTGAGATGCTGAAGGTGGTGCTGAACAACCAGTCATCATCACTCACTAAGGATCAGCTGCTTACCTCCTTGAGGAGCGAGGAGATGCGGATTGGTGTCGCACCAAGATCGGATGGTGTAGCCACCTTTGGAGCGGGTACGAAAGTGGGCAGCAGCGGCAGGGGAAATTGGGACAAGGGAGGAAAGCATGGAGGCAGCGGTAGCAGCAGTGACACCAACTCGGGCAGATGGGGTCAAGGGAAAGGCAAAGCGGGAGTGCTTGATTTCCCCTGGGGGTCCAAGGGCATGGCTCCTCGGGGGTTGTGTCATGGCTGTTGGGATGAGGGACATGCATGGCAGCGATGTCCTCATCGACCTAAGGGAGGCAATCCGGCATTCTTAAAGCGGGGGGGTCGTGGGTCCAACGGCAAGGCACAGGTGGCGGATGAGGAGGAGCAGGATGACAAGGCAGAGGCAGTGGTTGGAGAGGCAGTTGCAGCAGTGGGAGAGGAGCAGCCGCGAGAGGGGTGGTGGATTCCCATTGACCCTTGCCCATCGCCGCCTTGGTCATACCGCCCCCACAACATTGCAACAGATGGCTTGGGGGAACAGTGTACTGGTCTTGGAGATTGGGGGGGGGAGCACTGATTGCTCCCCATGTGAGCCTTGCTTATTGGGAAAGTCGGCTCGGAAGCCGTTTCCCCATGAGGCGTCTCGGGCACTTGGGCCTTTGGATGAGGTCCACATGGATTTGTGGGGGCCAGTGCGCACACCGTCACTGGGAGGAGCGGTGTATGTCCTCAGTCTCATTGACGACTTCACCAGACGAGTTTGGTCGTTCCCCCTCCCCAACAAGGAATCGGCCACAGTTGCAAAAGTCCTTCGCCAGTGGCATAAGGACGTGGAGTTGGAGTGTGGGCGGAAGCTGAAGGCTGTTCGCTCGGACAGGGGTGGCGAGTTCTTGGGGGAAGCTGTAAAGGCATGGAAGGCGGAGTTTGGCATTAAAACTCAATTGAGCGTCGCAGATACACCGCAACAGAATGGGGTCGTGGAGAGGTGGCACAGGACAATGGCAGAGGGGATTCGCACATTGTTGGTCGACAGTGGTCTCCCTGCTCGCTTGTGGGGTGAAGCATTGATGTGGGTCGTGTGGGTTAAGAATAGGGTCACCCACAGTGCTTTGCCTGCTTCCATCACACCAATGGAGGCGTGGTCCGGCCAGAAGCCGCATGTGGGCATGGCTCGGATTTGGGGTTGCATGGGGAGTGTCATGCTGCATGGGCATGAGAAGGGTGGCAAGCTTGATGCACGGGCTGTCATGTGTGTCTGTGTTGGGGTGGACATGGAGAGCAAGGGTTGGCGCATGCTGGACCCTTCTCTCATGCGCATTCGCATTGCTCGGGATGTTGATTTTCTTGAGAATGTGATGTGCAAGGATTGGGACAAGGCAAAGGGATTTGGGCAGCTTCTGCAGGATGCAGCTGCAATTTCTTAACTCCTCCCTCTTCCACTCTCGCCACCCTCAGCGACGGCTGACGACGTTGAGATGCCACCTTCATCACTGCCACCGGCACCGCAGAGTGTGTCGGTGCAGCAGCTGCCCACCCCTCTGCAGCAGCTCAGTGGCCCCTCGGTCATTCAGCGGAGATCCGCTACACAGGCTACTTCCTCTTCCTCCTCCTCTGGTCAGCGCTCTGTCCCTCTCTCTACGGGTGCCCCTCCGTCACCAGCGACTACCTCCCCACCACCGGTTACGGGTTTGCAGGTGCTTGGTATCCAGTCTGGTACAGGTGGTGAGGAGGTAGGGGGGGATGCTGGTGTGGTTGAGGGCATGCTGTGTTTGGCCAGGGAGGTGGAAGGTGTTGCACTGGCAGGTGTGAGCACCGGTGATGTCCCACGCACACTCGCTGAGGCCCTGCGTGGCCCTGAGGGCCCTGCGTGGAAGGCAGGCGCTGAGAAGGAGGTAAATGCAATGCGCACTATGGGTGTATGGGATCCAGAGCCGGTCGACTTACCTCCAGGTAAGAAGGCCATTGGGGTCAGGTACGTTTTCCGCAGGAAAACTGACAAGGAGGATAAGGTGGTACAGCACAAGGTTCGCCTTGTTGCTAAGGGGTACACTCAGGAGCCCGAGAAGGACTATGATCAGGTATTTGCCCCTGTGGGCAAGCTCACCTCAGGTCGGGTGCTTCTTGCAGAAGCCGCGGTAAAAGGGTGGCATGTACAACAGGAGGATGTTGATCATGCTTACCTCAATGCAGTCCTTCAAGAGGAGGTGTATGTGAGGCAACCTGAGGGATTTGATGATGGTACAGGTAGGGTGTATCGCTTGCGCAAAGCTCTCTATGGGCTCAAGCAAGCGCCTCGTGCTTGGAATGAGGAGATTGGTACCACCCTGATTGCAGCAGGGTTTGACCGCAGTGCATGTGATGAGGCTCTGTACATCAGGTTTGTGGATGAAGAGCCAGTGTATGTATTGGTGTATGTGGATGACCTCTTGCTTGTGTCTCCACGCTTGGAGCTGATCGGTCAGGTCAAGGAGGTGCTTGCTCAGAGGTACCAGATGAAGGATCTAGGTGAGGTATCCACGTACCTTGGTGTGGAGGTTCGCAGGTCGGTCAAGGATGGGTGGTTGGAGATTGGTCAGGAGAAGTATGTCCGTGGTCTCCAGGGAAGGTTTGGAGATCTGCTGAAGGAGACCCATAGGGTGCATACTCCAATGTCACCCAATGATCTCTCTAAGATCAGAAATGGTACTTGGTCGCCTGAGGAAGGTGTTGCAGCTGATGTCAAGGTGTACCAGAGTCTCATTGGTAGCTTGATGTATGCTGCTGTGACCACCCGTCCTGACATGTCTTTCACTGTCAACACCCTTGCACAGTCCTGCGTGGCACCAAGACGCATTCACATGCGCGCTGCACTGAGAGCACTCAGGTACTTGGTCGACACAGCTGATCGTGTCATCAGGTATGAGCGCCAAGGTGGTGAGCAGGTTGTTGGGTACACAGACTCGGATTGGGGTGGTGAGACTGATGGCAAGAGTCGCTCTGCCTACATCTTTAAGCTGGGAGGAGGAGCAATCAGCTGGTATAGCAAAAAGCAAGACACTGTCGCAGCAAGCGTTTCTGAAGCTGAGTACAAAGCTCTATCGGAGGGGGCCAAGGAGGCCATTTGGTTGAGGAGTTTGTTGGCAGAGATGCATGTGGGGGATGGGGGGGCTATTCCATTGCTCTGTGATAATGAGGCTGCTGTCTCCCTTGCCCACAATCCCGTTTTCCATCAGCGCACCAAGCACATTAAGGTGGCATGGCACTTTGTACGGGATGCGGTGCGCCAGCAGGAGGTCGAGGTGCACTCAGTACGTTCCCACCTCCAGGATGCCGACATGCTCACCAAAGCTCTTCCAAGCTTGCAGCTGCATGAGAACCTGGAGCGCATCGGCATGCGAGTGATGGCTGCGAAGGCCAAGGCTTCATTCGCTGGAGGGGTTGTGTTTTGATTTATGGGTAAACTTTAATGCTTATTGAAGCAAGGGGGGGTGTTGGAATTAAGGTTAATTCGGGTTGCTCCAATAAACATATGTAGTGATACATCTACACTATAGTAGTGTAGAATACATTGGTTGGGTTGGGAGAACTTGTGGTGTACACTCTATAGAGTGGACCACCTCCCAAACCCTATAGGTTAGGGTTCTCTCTTGTTGGAACTTCACTTCTTGGAAACCACTTTGGTTCTAGCATGGTTCATGCCCAAGTGGGCTCCTAAGATTCCTAGGCTTTAGGAGGAGGTTCTAAGACTACTAAAGCTTCCGCTAGTAGCTTAGTCCATTCTAACAAAGCGGAAGTATACTGTAGCTGCGCGGAGCGCATTTTACTACTCTACTCCAGCAGCTGCACTGAGAAGAAATAAGGCATTATCGCTACCGTACATCATGCTGAGCTTCGAATGTGCTTTTACAAATGCAGGATTTTGAGGTTTGTGTACCATGGCCATTAAATGAAGGATACTGTACAAAATAACAAATCACCCAACAGCCACCTTCTCTAGTCCACAAATCCAAAACTCTTGCACACAACAGATAAAAACACACTGCCTTCCTTCACCTGCCGCACACCATGCCATGCGGCATCCATGCCACTGGCCATGTCAGCAGACCCGCGTGACACGATGGCACTCACTCGGCCTTCTGCCCGAAAACCATGATAAACTGCCCGTTGGTTTCCTGGCGGTACTCCACAAACCCCGACAGCTGCAACAGCTCCCTCAGCTCCTCACCCTCCCACAGCTTCATGGTCGTGTCCGCGCGCATTGACTGCAACATGGAGGAAGGGGAGAGGGGGGAGAAGAGCAAGGATGGGGGTTATAGAGGCGGGTGGGAAGGAGGAGAGGGTGCGTCCTCCCACAGCTTCATGGTCGTGTCTGTACGCATTGACTGCAGCACGGAGCAAGGGGGGAGGAGGGAAAGGACGTGTGTGGGTCAATGAGGTTCGAGACGCCCTGAGCTCCTCCCCCTCCCACAGCTTCATGGTAGTGTCCGCGCGCATTGACTGCAACATGGAAGAACGAGGGGGAGGGAAAGGGTGTGGGCCATAGAGGTTGGAAAGAGGAAGGACAACGGACAACCTTGCTACTGGATCTGATGAGGTCGGTCGTTGCCAAAGACAGCGGAGGAAGAGGAGAGTAAGTGCAAAAAAGAGGGGCGAGGGAGGAGCTGAGGAGGGAAGGGGAGGGAGCCAGCAATGGGCAACCTTGCAAATGGACTGGATGATGTCATTGCTGAAGGGACCTTTACGTCGGAGGGGCTAAATGAGTGTGACCTCCCATTGTACCAAGGTGACTACTGAGTTGACTCGAGAGAAGGAGGGAAAGCCTCGAACTACCTTGCGAAGGGACCGGATGATGTCATTGCCGAAGGGAGCAGAGGGCCAGAGGAGAATAGGTGCAAGAAAGAGGGGCAAGGAAGGAGGCGAGGAGGGAGGAGGAGGGGGGCCCACGGCCCATGGGCTACCTTGTGAAGGGACTGGAAGAGTTCGTTGCCGAAGGGAGCAGAGGGCCAGAGGATTGTGGATGCCACGAACTTGCCTCCAGGCCGCAGCACCCGGTTTATCTCCGCCATCTGCAGAGATTAACGAAGGATGGGGGGGGGAAACAGGGAGGTCAGGAAATATATATAGAGGCGCCTAAAGCAGAGAATATTGCCCCCTTGCCGTAGCACCTGGTTGATCTCCGCCATTTGCGGAGATGTGATGGATGATGTGGGGGGCGGAGGGGAGGGAAGAGTATTTCTGAGGCGCATGGAGAAAGAACTTGCCTCCTGGTCACAACACACGGTTTACGGGAGAAAGGGGATACGTGGGGTCAAGACAGAATGGGTATGAGGGAGAGGCAAGGGAAAAGCAAGGAGGAAGGGCATAGGATGATGCAGGGCAGAGGAAGAGGAGGGCGAGAAACACTAAAGAAGGGGAAGTGGAAGGAGGAGGATGGGTTGCAAATACTAGTGTGGTGGAAGGCCATGGTGCAGGCAGAGCAGGGTAGGAGTGATGTGGAATGGATGGGAGGGAGTTTTGAGGTGCCTAAAAAATAGGACGGATTTTGAGGCGCCTCAAAAATAGGACGGGTTGCGAATACTAGTGTGGTGGAAGGCCATGGTGGAGAGTAGGGTAGGAGTGACGTGGAATGGAGGGGAGAGAGAGGCCTTTGAGATAGAGAGCGAGAGCAGTGAGACAGGGAGAAAGGGACAAGGAATGACGTGGAAAGCAGGTAAGAGGGAGAGCGGGTGCTTGGGAGGGACAGGAGCACTGACAGCGAGGGAGGGCGAGAGCCAGCAGTGCATGGCAGCCCCAGCGCGAATTGCACTATTAGACCCCGAGCAGAAGGGCAGGCGTGCTATTTTGGGGCGCCTCAAAGCAGGAGGGTGCGAGGGGAAGGGGCACTGACAGCAAGAGAGGGCGAAGGCCAGCAGTGCATGGCAGCCCCGGCGTGGATGGCATCGATGGACCCCTAGCAGAAGGGCAGGCGCAGAGGGGGGGAGAGAGAGGTTGAGAAGGAAAGGGGCACTGACAGCAAGAGAGGGCGACGGCCAGCAGTGCATGGCAGCCCCGGCATGGATTGCATCAATGGACCCCGAGCAGAAGGGCAGGCGCGCCACGTCCGCCTGTACCAGCATGATGCGTCTGATGGGTGTTTGTGCCGAGGGGTGGAGGGGGAGAGACATGGGGATGGGGATGGTGTGAGGATGATGGCAGCCCCGGCGTGGATTGCATCGATGGACCCCGAGCAGAAGGGTAGGCGCGCCACGTCCGCCTGCACCAGCATGATGCGCCTGATAGGCGTGATGGGGGGGGATGGGGGTGGTGGGGGTGGGGGGTGGGGAGGACATGGGGCACGGGGAGTCTCAAAATTCACTTTTATCACATAGCATGATGCGCCTGATAGCCGTGATGGGGGTAGGGGGGGAGACATGGGGCATGTGGATGGTGCGAGGATGGGATGGGAACCGGCAGTATGGGTGCGAGAGGACGGTGTGGTTTTCGAGAGATTTTTGAGATTTTTTGAGATTTTTGAAAATCCCTCAAAAAGTGGGTCAATTATGAGCGTGCATGGACGCTTGGAGGGATGGGGCATGGGGTAATAACATAGCTGCATGACTGTATGGGGGGTGGATGGATGGACCCATGGAATGAAGCAGGTGTGTGCGCCAGCAGTAACATGGGGTGCATGATGGCCATTCAGAGCGCATCATGCATGGGGATAGGGTACATGGGTGGGTGCAAGGCTTGCAAGGGGATGGATGGGGGGATGGTGTCGCTGGGGTTAATCCAGTCCAGTCCACCAGGCTCAGCTCACTCACTCCTGAGCTGAGCTGAGCTTCCGAGAGGCTCTTATCCTCCTTGATGTACGCCGCAGTCTGCTCTGCTCTTCTCCAGCGTGGCTCTAAACAACTCTGCTGCGACGTGATGTTTGGGACGTCTCAAAACAACACTCTTATCCTCCTTGATATACGCCGCAGTCTGGTCTGGTCTGCTCCAGCGTGGCTCTGAACAACTCTGCTGCGATCCCAGTGGCCCAGCTACCCAAACAGCACGGTGAAACAAACAAGCGTGGTGCGGCAAGCACACAGCGCACCCCACACACCACACTCACTCCTGAGCTTCCTGCAGGCTCTTATCCTCCTTGATGTACGCTGCTGTCTGCTCCAGCATGGCCCCTGACAGGTCTGCTGCAATCACCGTGGCCCAGCTGCCAGCAGCAGCGAAGCGGCGTGTGAAGAGCCCGGAGCCACAGCTGAGGTCCACAACGCGCCCGCCCTCGTGGCTGTCCAACCACTGCTGTGCCATGCGGAACTGGTGAGGGGGAAAGGTGGGGAGAGGGGGCATGAGTGGTGGGGAAAGAGGTGGAGAGGTGGAGAAGTGGGTTGTCGATGCAACAGCCAGAGATGGAAAGTTCCACAACGCGACCACCTTCGTGGCTGTCCAGCCACTGCTGTGCCGTGCGGAACTGGGGAGAGGGAAAGGAGGGGAAGAAGAGGGGGGGAGTTTGGGATCGGGGGGAGTTGCGGGGGGAGAGAAGAGTGGGAAAGAGGTGGGGAGGCAGGGGCACAGTTACAGCTCAGGCCCACCACTCGCCCGCCCTCGTGGCTGCCCAGCCACCGCTGTGCCATGCGGAACTGGGCAGAGGGAAGGGGGAGGGGAGGAGTTGGGAATGAGGGAAAGTCGAGGGGGGGAAAGAGCGGGGAAGAGGTGGGGAGGCAGGGGCACAGTCACAGCTGAGGTCCGCCGCCCGCCTGCCCTCGTGGCTGTCCAGCCACTGCTGTGCCATGCGGATCCGCGTGGGAAGGAAAGGATAGGAAGGGAGGAGGGGGAGGAGCATGAAGAGGTGGAAAGGACATTTTATGAGCATCGAGCTACAGCAAATGAGGTCCACAACTCGCCCGCCCTCGTGGCTGTCCAGCCACTGCTGTGCCATGTGGAACTGGGGAGGGAAGGGGGAGTAGGGGGAAAGAGGAAAAGGCAGGGAGGCGAGTTAGGATGCGTGGAGGAGGGATGAGAGCCGGATGAGAGGAAGAGGGAGTGAGAGTGGGGATGGGAGGACGAGGGAGTGAGAGTGGGGATGGGAGGACGAGGGAGTGAGAGTGGGGAGAGGAAGAGGGTGTGTGAGAGTGGGGATGGGAGGAAGAGAGAGTGAGTGGGGATGGGAGGAAGAGAGAGTGAGTGGGGATGGGAGGAAGAGAGAGTGAGTGGGGATGGGAGGAAGAGGGTGTGCGACAGTGGGGATGGGAGGAAGAGAGAGTAAGTGAGCGAAAATGGAAGGAGGAAGAGGAGGCTTCTCTGCGGCGAATCTCTCCGAACATTCTCCTGCATCCCTTCGAAGAGCAGATGGTCAGACAGACGTGCACTGCTGTGCACACTCTTATCGCGAGAGTGCTGGGAGAGCTGCACGCAATATCACTGCTGTGCACACTGCCATGCAGAGTGGCTGGGAGAGCTGCAGTTGAAGCGGAGGAAGTTCACCACTGTACCTCCTCCCTATTCTTCCCCACTTACCTTCTCCTCCTCCACACTCTCCCCCCCGTCTTCCCAGCCCCTCTCTTCCCCCCCCCTTCCCTCTTCCTTCTCCCAAAACGTCCCCCACTCCTCCTGCAACCCCCCTCCCACGCACCTCCCCGTCTGGGCCTGGGAAGCCGCTTCTGGTGAAGTTCTGCCGGTAGCCCCTCTCGTACACGAAGGAAAACACAGGACTCCTGGTGGCGGTGGTGGTGGGGGAGCGGGGGGGAAGGAGGAGGAGGAGGAGGAGGAGGAGGAGGAGGAGGAGGAGGAGGAGGAGGAGGAGGAGGAGGAGGAGGAGGAGGAAGAGGAGGAGGAGGAGGAGGAGGAGGAGGAGGAGGAGGAGGAGGAGGAGGAGGAGGAGCGGGAAAAGGGTGAGAGGGAGGATGAAATGACATTGTTCTCTGAAAAGATACTTGCAGAAGTGATACTCAAAGGAAATACTTGCAATTCTCAAAAGTGATTCGATGCGTGCATTGACACACGCACGCACGCACGCACTTGAAGGCCTCGGATCGGAAGGGCAGCGGCGGCTCCACGTATTCCGTGACGCCCGCTGTGAGCGTGAGATCCGCGTACCCTGCGCTGCTCGTCGCGTACACGCGCGCGCACGTGGCGCACTGCAGGCGCATGCGCGATGCCGTGTTCCTGGGAGGGCGGAGAGTGGGATGCGGGGGGCGGGGGGGGGACAAAATGGGATATGAGTTAGGGGATTCACATAGTGAGGGGATTCAGGTGAATGAGGAGACTACCAACACCGACGGTGAACGACCCGATGTAGCGACAGCATGCGACAGCGCCACTCACATGTTGAAGGTCCGAGAAGAGCGGGACCCGGAGATGGAGAGCGGTTGGAAGCACACTGGGCAGCCCAGCAACGGCCGCTGCTCGCCTGTCGCGTCATCCGTGCTCTCCGCTGCCGTCGTGGTGGCTGTTGAAGGGGCCGCCGATGCTCTCGCTGCTGCTGCTGCTGCTGCTGCTGCCACTTCTCCGCGTTTTTTCGCAGCCGGTTTCCCGCTGCCGCTACTACTGGCGCTTGTCGCAGCTCTGACGGGTATTAGCGTGCAGCGCCGTCTAGACGAGCGGCTAGCGGCGGAGCTGCCGTCTGGTAGCCGGCGCGGGAAGTCGAAAAGCGGGACGAGAGACGCGGAAGATGCGGGGAGAAAGGTGGAGCGGAGCGAGAGGCCGCCGGCGGTGCTCGACGAGGGGATTGTCATTGCTGGGCACGCCATGGTGTGACAGGGAGCAGGATCTGGAATGTACAAGCGAGCAGTCGGTGTACCGAACCGTTGAACTAGAAATGCTGGAAGAAGCGGCGCAGACTGACGATTGAAGTCGTCGTGTCGCGCGCGAGTATGACGCAGCTCCACTGAGCAGGAAAAAGATTTGGAGCAGGTGGCTGCGTGGCTCGGAGCAGGAAAATGATTCATCAGTAGCGGGAGGGAGGATGCATGAAGTGGCTGGATGACGGAAAGTACAAGTAGCCTTCGCCAAGATTTCGCCACTGGTAAAATGGGACTGATTTGGCGGTCACGCGGGTAACTCTTTCCAGCTTATGTGTTTTGTGCGCCCTGCAACCGCACCTGGGTTTGCGAGAACGAGGTGTTTCGCGACGTTAACGATTTGAAGGTGTTACAAATGATGTTGACGCACAACCAAGGTTCGGGCAGATGGAATCACGTGGCTAGTCTGGGAATGCTCCGCGTGGAACCACAACCAAGCTTCTGGGGTACCCGCTATAAGCGTGCTGTTGTAAATTGTCGGTGCATAGCCTGTATCGAAGTTGACGAGGAAACGACTTTAATTATTCCCTAAGGATATGATTTAAATACAACACCATATCGATGGAATCCATTTCTATCCACTCCTACGCAAATCCTCTCCAATGCACTCCCATGGCTGCTGGAGTCCATAGCTTCTTCAATAGCTTCTTTGGACGCGATCCGTAACCGCACGAGACTCTCCTATGTTCAAATACATAAAGCAGGTGAGAGCTACTTCCTTCTCACCCCCCTGCGCGTACACATTTTCGTACTCATCTTCACTTCACTTGTCACGGGCTCGTCAGCAACTCGCAGAAAAGGCCCACGTGGCTCGACTTGTGTCCGACAGACTATGAGGATTGGGTTTCCATCCGAATCACTCGCTGTTTCAAGCGTAACCCATGCGTCGCTAATCCTACTCCTCCCCACTCACAATCTCGGTTACATGACCGATTGCCGTGACTGATTCGTCCACCCGTTCTTCCCCGTTCGCATGACCGATTGCCGTGATTCCTTATCTCGCAGTTATGGAGGCAGGGCCAAGCGGCGGGCGCGGCGCTTGACAAGCGTCGGCTGCAGCAGCATGCCGACACGCACCGCCTGCTGCTGCTCGCATGGTGAGCGACAGATAGGAATCGGGGAAGGATGCATGCGTGCATCCATGGATCCGTGTACGCATGCAATGTGATTGGATTTTAAACCTCATCTGGTTCAGCTATCATCATCATAAATTGCCGCCAGTCAAGGCAAATCCGTCACCCACACGATATATGAAGCCTGTGCAGGGGATGCAATGCGCTGCTGGTAACATACACTCACCAACCATTTGAACTCAGTCAAGCACTCACTTCCTCACAACTTTAAACTTAACTACTCCTACTCATTCCCTTCTCCTGTTCCGCGTTGCTCGCACATTCACTCTCCTTCCCTGCCTCCCCTATCGCCCTACCCGTCCCCCCATGCTCCCACCCACTCTCTGCACGACTCCTCAGGCTGTGAGTGCAGTTAGGATCAGCGTAGGAAGCAGCAGCGGCGAGGTTCGCCCAGGAGGTAGCAGCTTCTTAGTTGTCTCAAAAGTCTGGCACGCCTTTCGCCCCACCCATCCCTCCCATGTTCCCACCCGCTCTCCTCTCAACTCCTCAGGCTGCGAGAGCAGGGAGGATCAGCGTCGGAAGCAGCAGCAGCGAGGTTCGCCCAGGAGGTAGCGGCGTTGCCTCTGGAGGAGAGCAGGCGTGAGCTTGCAGGGATGATGCGCGCTCAGATGCGACAAACGCTGCAGGCCATGCAGGTGCGCCCATGCGTGGGGTGCGTTTGTGTGAATGTATGCCAAGCCTTTGTGTCCGGGTGCTCCCTGCGCTTGCAGCCTCATACTCCCCTTTCCACCGCACCATTGGTCACTTGTTTGTCCTGTATGCACCATCTGTTCTGAACACGTCTGCCATGTGCCATGTGCCATGTGCCATGTGCCATGTGCCATGTGCCATGTGCCATGTGCCATGTGCCATGTGCCATGTGCCATGTGCCATGTGCCATGTGCCATGTGCCATGTGCCATGTGCCATGTGCCATGTGCCATGTGCCATGTGCCATGTGCCATGTGCCATGTGCCATGTGCCATGTGCCATGTGCCATGTGCCATGTGCCATGTGCCATGTGCCATGTGCCATGTGCCATGTGCCATGTGCCATGTGCCATGTGTCAAGAGATGTTCCATGCTTTTTTTCCTTCGCATGCCACATCAACACAGCTGCAACACAGCTGGCGGCAGCCATTGCATGGCGCAGGTCACAGCAGCGTCACCCTCTCCGACTCCTTCCCGTCTCGCCTCCCGTCCAGCGCCATCCAGACTGTCTTTGAGCCCGCCTCTGCCTCTGGTGGTAGCAGTTTTAAGGTGGCTAAAAAAACCGGTCACAGCAGCTTCACCCTCCCTCCTTCCCTCCCGTCTCACCTCCCGTCCAGCGCCATCCAGGCTGTCTTTGAGCCCGCCTCTGCGTCTGGCAGCAGCAGTGGTAGCGACAGCGGGACGAGCCAGGAGTCAGGCCAAGAGCCGTTTGTCAGTGAGCTCAGCTTTGCACTGGGGCAGCCTCTGGAAGGCAGGAAACGGTAAGACGCGGTAGGAAGCTCCAGACAATGGTGGGAAGGAAGTGGTGCGGTGGACAGGCGCCATGAACAGGCACCATGATCTCGCTACGGTGTGTAAGAGAGTCAGGCTTTTTGCTAGTCAGCCTTGAGAGTCATTCAGTTGAATTTCCACCATTTCCTATCCACCTGCCCTGTCTATCCAATGTGGCCCTTTGCCCTTTGCCCTTTCCCTGCAGGCCCAGCAACACAGCTCATCCGTCACACCTCTCCCCTTCAGAAGCCTCTTCTGCGTTTCACCGCTCCACTGGTTTCTCCCTCTCCCTCCGTCCCTCCTCCGTTCCTCACCCCACCTCTGGCCTCGGCCTTTTCCTCCACGGGTCCGCCTCTCCTGGCACTATCGTTGCGCAATATCCAGGGGTGATTTACCCTCGCGATATGCACCGGTACCTGCCAGGTTTCCCTCTGGTGGACAGCAATAACCCGTATCTTCTCGCACGGTTCGATGGGGTGATTGTAGATGCGAGGCCGTGGGGGGTTGGAGGGGCAGGCAGGGAGGTGTGGAGCGGGATAGAGGAGGAGAATCTTGCGTGGTTGAGGGAGAGGGAGCGGTGGGAGAGAGAGGAGGGTTCGCAGAGGGTTGATGACCAGTGGTTGAAGGGAAGGGGAGCGAGGGAGGAGGAGTTGGCAGTGGCAGAGGCAGAGGCAGTGAGTGGTTCGTCCACAAGTCCCGGTACAAGCAGTTCAAGTAGCAGTGTTGGCGGTGATGGCGACGACGCCAGCAGCGGCAGCAGCGACAGTAGTGGCAGCAGCAGCAGCAGCAGCAGCAGCAGCAGCAGCAGCAGCAGCAGCAGCAGCAGCACTAGCATGTTCTCATTCAATCGAGCACTTGAAGCGGCACTGGCCCGTGTGCTGGTGGGAGGCGACAGCTGGCGCAACAACCCGGCTCTTCTCACTGCAGCTATCGCTGCCACTCAAGTGGAGATCGAGAGGAGGAACCCCCTTGCTCTGGCTCACTTTGCAAATCACCCGGGTGGATCTGGGCAATCACCCAACGTGGCGATTTGCCCTCTGGACATTTACTTCGAGGATACAGAATGGAACAATCTCCGGCCCTACATGCCTAATGCTGTTTTCCGCCTTAAAGAAAAGAGAATGGAGAGAACGAGGGGTGGGCGGAGGTCTGCAGGCAGGAGGGGGTCAGAACATGACTTAAATGAGTCGAGTATGCAGATGGATGGTGATGATGAAGACGAGGAGGGGATGAACGAGGGATTGCTGAGGACGGTGGTGCTGGTGGCAACAGATGTGATCAAGGATGGGGAGGAGGTGTTTCTGGACTATAGATTGAATCCCAATGCCAACCGCCCAGATTGGTATGTTCCAGTGGATGCTAAGGCAGAGGAGAGGCGCTGGTCATAGATTGCTGCTAAGGGGATTTGAGCAATGTGCTATTGTGGTCATAAAAGCTTCATGTGGCTATTCTTGCTAAACGTGGCATAGGAGAGACGCACTTACACATATGGACATGGGTTTCAATATACAAATCACTTCAGACTGTAGTGCTGCTATACGTTGCTTTGTGTTTCACCTGTAGTGTAGCCTTCCTTCTCCTGAACCAACTACCCGCATCGCCGTTGCGGGAACCCGAAATGAGTATGAAATCAAGAAGGGGTTTTGGGAAGTCCCGAGGGTTTTGGACGCAACAAGAACAAAACATTTCCAGAGGCCTCGAACATTCCGGCGGCGTGGGCTGGCGTATGGGCAAGCAGCGAGGCGACGCGCTCCACCACATGTGCGCAGTGCTGGTAGCGGGCAGAATTACAAACCCCGTCCACCAGCAATTTCCTTCTTGTACACGCTCTGACCCCTGCCAACGGCCGTGCTTTCAAACGTTTTGGGTCAGTTTTCTCTCTTTCAAAATTATATTTACAGATGATCAAATTCTCTCCATCATGTTGATGTCCCTCCCCTCACGAATCCCTGCCTGCCCAGTCCCATCCCATGGTATTACCATCCCATTCGATCCCCCCCTCCCGTTCGCTACTCTTCCCCCCCCCAACCTCCTTCCCTCACTGGCTGAACGGCACTATCCCCAAACCATGTCTCCCTCCCCACCCCTGCACATCCCTCCCCACCCGTCTTTCTCTCCTTCTCTCTTCCTCTTCCCACCTCCTCTCCCTCCTCCCCCCTCCCCTCTCTCCTCGCCCATCCCCCCAACCCTAAGTCTCATTTGACAGCTCCGCTTCTCCTCTTATGCTCTTTTGCCTCTGCTCGTCGCAGCTTGGCAGGCATTAGCACGCAACCGACGCGGAGAGCCTCTTTACCCTGCCGCCTCGTTAATTCTTTAATTTCCCGTCCAAGTCTTGGTCACGGGCAGAGCGTTCGCAGGCGAATCCTTTTCGCGAGGCCCCGCGCGATCGAGCGCGGCGAGCAGATCCTCCCGGGGAGTGCAGCAAGGACATGCCTCCCGAATTACACCGCCTTTCCTCCATCGGTGGTTCCGTAACCGCCGCTCGTAAAGTTGTTGACGTGTCCGGGCCTGCGGTTGGCGGAGATATGACTCCCAATGCGGAGACTGACGAGTCGCGCAGGAAAAAGAAGCAGCGGCAGCAGGATCAGCAGCTGTTGCAGCAGCAAGGGGAGGAGACCCCGAGCGCTGTGAAGAAGCGAAAGGAGCTTGACGAAGGCGGTAACGACATTGGTAACGATGACGGCAATGACTGCAATTCGGAAAAACACCGTCGCAAGAAGAAGCAGCTCCAGACCCCTCCCATCAAAGCCCCTAATAGTGCTCCGCCCAAAATCCCTAAGTCGAAAAGCCCTTCTTCCAAAACAAAAAGCCGACAGCATCACCTCTCGTCATCGACTAAACCCTTATCCGTCCGACCTATAGGTTCCCTTTCTGCCGCTCTCGATGATTCTCCTACAGCAGCCGAGGCGCAGTCAAATCCCGGGCTAGTCTCCGTTTCGCGATCTCTCTCCCCGTCCCCGTCCCCATCCGTACTCGTCGCGACGCCCTCCGACATGCAAATCGTGTCGCAGTTACCCGCTAAAGCACTCGCGCAAGCCACTGACGTGACTGCTCAGGGCCCATCCTCGCCGGCTCCCGGATCCGTCCACGTGGCCCCTCCACGTGGGCGCGCGTCGTTGGAGGTTCACAAGTGTCAGGCGATTGATTGGCGGCCGTCGGCGGTAACGGCGCTAGCGGCTAGTTGCGACAGTGCGGTAGTGGCTGCGGCGCGGGAGAACGGGGATATCGAGATCTGGCGAGTCGCAGCTGGCGCCGTCGGATGGGCTTGCGAACTGGTGAGAGGATTTCGCACAGAGCATTGGGTAACACGTATCAGATGGTTACCGAACAAAGAGTATAATCACATGGTGACGGAATGGGGCCTTAAACGTGGGGGGGTTAAGGTTGGTGGGTTTGAAGGGTGCCGGAGCAGGGGTATGTGAAGTCGAAGGCAAGCTTACCAGAAGGAAGGGTTTAAGAGCGGTACGGGCGCGACTGGCCGGGGTGTGCGCGGTTCTCGGGCAGGAAGATTTTAGCAGGGTTTTAGAGGGCAATTGAAAGGCAACGAGGGAGGCGAAGTGGAGAGAGTGGGCTGAGCGAGGAAAGGGGGCGTGAGGTGTGTGTGTCTTAATGGGAAAAGCTGGGGTTTTGCGCGTCGCAAGGGGAGCGATACGCGCCTGATCGGCACTGGGGTGCGTGCTGTCGACCGACGCGTTAAGCGCGGCGTGTGTGTTTACCTTCGTTCTGCAGCACTGCTCAACTCACCGCTCAATTTTCTCCTTTTGCCCCTCTTGTGATTTCTTTCCTCCCCCACACCCGCTCCCCCGCCTCTCTCCTCCTTCCTTTTCTCCTTTCCCCCCCTCTCCCCTTCCCTTCCTGCAGCGCATCCCCGGCCGTCGCGACGCCGCCATTTCGTCGCTCGTGTGGTGCTCCCCGCCGTCGTACCTGCCGTCGCCTGCGGCCGGCACGCTGCCGGCGGGGCTGGCGGCGCGCGGGCGGCTGTTCTCCGCGAGTCTGGACGGCACGATCACGGAGTGGAACCTCGCCACTCTCGCGCCGCAGGTGGGTGGGGCGGGGCGGGCAGTCGTTTAGCCGTCCTACGCGCTAGGCTTTAGGGGACTGTGCTGTGCCGTCACATGCCGTCACGTGTTTGTATCGCTTTCGAGAGTTCTCTAGAGTGATGTGCGCGGAGCTTTTGGAGGAGATCGCTGTAACTGCCAGCTCAATCCCAACCGTTTGTCATCTCGCGGCGCCTTGTCATCGTTCCGCGCGCGCGCGCGTGCTCTTTCTTTCACGATGTTTCGCTCTTGTATTGATTGGATCGGACCTGGGTGCAAGCTATAGGTAGAGAAAGTGGCGGGTGCAACGTGAGAAGGGAAACACATGGTAAAACGAAGAGTAGATATTGCCGGGCAACAATGGCTGATGTTGATCTTTCTTCCTCCCCCCTCCCTCTCTCTTCCCCCCCTCCTCTCTCTCTCTCTCTCTCTCTCTCTCTCTCTCTCTCTCTGTCGCTCTTTCACTCTATCGCTCTCCCTCCCCCCCCTCCCCCTCTCTCCCCTTCCTCCCTCCCCACATTGCTCAATGTGCTTCCGCTTCTCTCCACCATTGCCTCTTGGTTTCCTCTCGCGCTCAACTTCCTTCCCATTCTCACTTATTTCCCCCTCTCCCCCACCCTTCATACTCCCTTCCCGCGCGTACCTTCTCCCCGCGCGCTGCAATCCCCCGTCCCGCGGCTTACGCGCGCCAGTCCCCGACGGACTCAATGGGCGGGCCCGTGTGGGCCATGGCGGTGGAGCCGGCGCGCGAGCCGCTGCGGCGGAGCGCGGGGGGGGGAGGGGGTGGGGGAGCTGAGGGCAAGGCGAAGGGGAAGGAGAAAAAAGCGGCGGACGAGGAGGAGGAGGATGAGGATGAGGATGAGGGCGGAGAGGGCGCGGGGGGCAGTGCGGGGGAGGGGGAAGAGTACGTGGCGGTGGGGTGTGACGACGGCGCGCTGCGCCTGTTCGTTCCGTCCGACCGGGGCGCGGGCATGGAGTACCGCAAGTCGTTCCCGCGCGGACAGGGTGAGCGGGGCAAGGGCAGCCGGGCGCGGGGAGCCGGGTGCGGGGGGCGGGGGGCGGGGCCAAGAGGGACAGCGGGAGGGGGGAGTGGGAGGGAGAGGGACGAGGGTGTGGGGAGAGAGAGGGAGGTAATGTGCGAGGGAGGGACAGGAGACGGGGGTGTTGTGGTATGAATGGATGGCCGGTGGGACCATGCACGTCCCAAGCTCGCAGTTACAAAGAGAGGGGTGTTGTAGTTCCACGTGCTGTGCGTGATGGCCCGTTGCCCTCGACTCATCACGCCCTTGTTGTTCTCACACGCCGCTCTGTCTTTCACCCTCCATGTGCCCCGCTGCCCCGCTGCCCCGCTCCCCCCTCCACTCTCCGTTCTCCCCTCTCCCCCCTCTCCCCGTGCGCAGCCAAGATCCTGTGCGTGGCGTGGGCGTGCTCCGGGACTCGCCGTGTCTTCACTGGCGGCTCAGACAGGTCCGCCCTCCCTCCCTCCTTCCTTGCTCCGCTCCCTGCTGCCCTCCCTGGTCCTTGCTTCCGTTTGTGCAGTCGTCCCTCGTTTCCGCAACCTGTTATGGTGCTGGGACCCTGTAGCGTTCGTCTATACACGTCTCTCAGCTCATTCTTCTCTCCCTACAATCAAGCGTGTGATGATTCTAATTTTGAGTCGACTCAAAAAAGGGACCCTGTAGCGTGCATCTATACACGTCTCTCGGCGCTCTCCTTTCTCCCTACAAACAAGCGTGCCCACCCCCTACACTCCCTTTCGCCCTTCTCCCTCCCCTGTCCTGTCCTTCCCTCAGCATGGTGCGGTGCTGGGACGTGGCGGCGGGCAGGGAGCTTTACCGCATTCCCGTGGCCACGGGCATGGACAGCATTCGCAACCTCTGCGTCTGGTCGCTGCTCGCTCTCAGGTGCGCTCCTTGCCCCGCTCTCCCGCTTTCCCCTCCCTCCCTCCCTTCCTCCCTCACTCCCTCCCTCACTCCCTCCCTCCCTCGCTGCTCGCGCTCTGTTGCCCTCCAGTTCCCTCCCCTCCCGTTTCAATGTTCGCGCTCCTTCTAGTTTTCTGCAATCCCAACGCCTCTCTCTCTCCCTCCCTCCCTGCTTGCTGTCTCTCACCCCGTTGCTCCGCCTCGCGCGTGTCTCCCTCTTCTCCCCGCCACTCGCCCCTCCTTCCCATCCCCCCCCACCAGTGACGGCACCCTGGTAACAGGGGATTCGTCCGGGCACGTGCGCATGTGGGACGGCGCGCTGGGCACGTACCTATCGTCCGTGCGCGCGCACAAGGCGGACGTGCTCACTTGCCCGCTCCCTGCTCCCTGCTCCCTGCTCGCTGCTCGTTTGCTTTCTCTCAACCGTTTTCCCACCTCCTGTGTGTCTCCCTCTTCCCCTCCCTCCCCCTTCCCCCCACCTGCCCCGCCTCCGTTCCCCCTGTAACGCACCCCGCCCCCCACCTCCCCCCACCAGTGACGGCACCCTGGTAACAGGGGATTCGTCCGGGCACGTGCGCATGTGGGACGGCGCGCTGGGCACGTACCTGTCGTCCGTGCGCGCGCACAAGGCGGACGTGCTCGCGCTCGCCGCCATGCCCAACGACTCCTGCCACGTCTTCTCCGCCGGCGCGGACGGCATGGTGAGAAAAAGGGGGAGAGGAGGGGGAGGGGGATTGGGGGAAGGGTTGAGAGCGGGGAGCTTGCGGGGGGGGGGAGGAGTGGTGCTCGCCCTCGCCGCCATGCCGAGTTGACTTTTGAGTCGACTCAAAAGTCTTGCGGGGGAGGAGTGGTGCTCGCCCTCGCCGCCATGCCCCACGACTCCCACCACGTCTTCTCCGCGGGCGCGGACAGCATGGGAAGGGGAGGGGAATGGGTGGGGGGATGGGGTGGGTAGGGTGTGTGGGTGGGTGGGTGGGTGGGTGGGTGGGGTGCGTTGGGGCGAGGGAAGTGAAGGAACATTTGTTAACAATCTTAGATACGTTAGAAGCGTGTCAAGTCAACAATCTTGTGTTCACTTGCCAAACACATCTCAACCCCTTAAAGCGGCAGTATACATTTGTCAGCGGGGTTTAGGGTTTGTGAGTGTGCCTCACAGTTTTGGGGCAACTTTTCAAGTTCCTAAGGATTTTGAACCCTTCCTGTCAAATGTATACCGGAGCTCCTCCCTCCCTTCGCCCCCCCCCCTCCCCCCCCCCTTCCCTCTCCCCCTTCTTCCGCCCCTTCCCCCAACAGGTGGCGCAATACCGCTTTGTGGCCAACTCCGCGGCGGGGCTGGAGGCGCGCAGTAAGAGAGGCGCGGGGGGGAGCGCTGGGGGGAGCGGGAGCGCGGGGAAAGCTGTCCGCGCGCAGGGGGGGGCGAGCGCGGACGGCAAGTGGATGCTGCTGGGGGCGCACCGGTCGCACACAGCTGATGTCAGGGCGCTAGCGGTGGCGCTGGTGCCGGAGGAGGGGGAGGAGGAAGGGGAGGGGGAAGGGGAGGAGGGGGAGGGGGGTGGTGCGGTGGGAAGGGGAGAGGGCGAGGAGGAAGAGCACGTGGTTCACTGGCGGGAGGTGCTTGGTGAGTTGTTTGGAGTGGAGTGCGGTATGGTGTGGTTTGTGCAAAAAAAAAGCCCCCTTAACTAAGGAGAAGGAGCGAACGATTGAATATGATTGATGGGGATTTTGGGATTCGGGGGAATGAGGAGTGTGGTCCATGCGAGGGGGAGGAAGCTGGGGGTTTCGGGTTTCAAGAAGGGTTTGAGAATTTCCCTGGTTACTTACTCCTCTCAAGCCACTTTTAAGAATTTCTAAAAAAATTCTCCAATTTTTCTGGTTACTTCGAAAAGCCACGGATGCCAGCAGAGCAGCACCTAAAATCTCCCTCTTTGCCCCCTCCCCTCCTCCCACTTTCTCCCTCTCTTCATGTTTCTTCGTGTCTCCCCCTTCTGTCCTCCCAGCATCCAAGCTCAAGCCAGAGATGACAGCAGAGCAGTGCCAGCAGCTAGAAACCAAGGGCAAGGCAGCATGGCGGCGGCGCAAGGAGCAGCGGCGGCAGCGCAAGGAGTGGACCATCGTATAAATGAAAGCCGTACCTTACCTCCCCTTTTGTAACCTACTTCCCTCCCCACTTCCGCTCCCGTTTACCCCTTCCCCCTTCTTTTCGCTCCTCCTCTCCCCTGCTTTCTTCCCGCTCCCTGTGCTTCTATGCAGCGTCCAAGATCAAGCCAGAGATGACAGCAGAGCAGTGGCAGCTTTGAGAATTCTCAGAAGTGACTCCTCTCCTTCCCCCTTCTTCCACTCCCTGTACGTCTATGCAGCGTCCAAGCTCAAGCCAGAGATGTCAGCAGAGCAGTTCCAGCAGCTAGAAGCCAAGGTCAAGGCAGCGTGGCGGCGGCGCAAGGAGCAGCGGCGGCAGCGCAGGAAGCAGCGCGAGCAGGAGCGGGAGCAGCGGCTGGGGCTGCGACCCCAAGCAGCAATGGTGGTGTCTGGGGGAAATGACGCTCGGCTGGTAACGTATCCCTCACAGTATTTCCTCAAGTATAGCCCGCACACGGTCTGCCCCACGCCGCAGGCGCCTCCGATGCAGATGGCGCGGTGCGGGCTAGGAGGGAGGCTGCTGCTGGTGCAGCAGGCGATGAGTCTGGATGTGTGGTGGGTGGATGAGGAGGAGGGGGAGGGAGAGGGAGAGGGAGCGGGAGAGGGGGTGGAGTGCGGGGAGGGTGGGCGGGAAGGGTTGGTGGGAGGGGGGGAAGGCGGGGCGAGGGATGGTGGGGAGGAGGAGCGGAAAGAAGGGGGATCGGCTGTGAGACGGTTGGAGATGAATGGGGTGTCGGAAGGGGAGGAGGAAGAAGAAGAGGAAGAAGAGAAGCAAGAAGAGGAAGGGGAGGAGGAGGGAGGGAGAGGTGAGGGCGAGGTGGTGGAAGGCAACGATGGGGCGCGAGAGCAGGGGGAGGATGAGCGGATAAACCCGTCTCAGCTGTTCGGGTCCAAGAGGCAAGCGAAGAAACACCGAGCCATGACCAAAGAATCGCAGCAGCAGCAGCAGCAGCAGCAGAGGCAGGTGCAAGGGGTCCAAGGCGGGGAGCAAGGGGCGCAAGGAGAGCAAGGGGGGCTAAATGAAGAGCAGCGGCGCACCAAGCGCAAGCTGCACGCGCTTGAGCTGCAATCCAAGACCAAGAAGGCCGCTCAGGAGGCCGAGGGGAGACGCATGCTTGCTGAAATTCGGCGGCAGGAGGCGGCAGTGTATGGCGCCATGGGCAGAACGGGGTTCCAGGCGCAAGGGCAGCTGCTGGGAAGCGTGTCGATTCCCGCTCCGAGTGCTTCCGCTTTTGCTGTCGCTCCCCTTCCGCCTCCCCCTCCGCCTCCGCGCGCGCGCGCCCCCCCGCGGCTGGTGGCTCAGCTGCGGACGAGCGGGCCCGGGCACGTCGTTTGCAGCGCCATCTCCCCGGACGGCCGCCAGCTGGCGCTCTCTGATTTGTCGAAGCTTCGCGTGTACAACCTGCTGTGTGACGTGGCGGGTGGAACAGGAGGAGGAGGAGGAAGAGGAGGAAAGGGAGCAGGAGCAGTTGGAGTTGCTGGTGGTGGTGGTGGCGGAGCAGCAGCAGCAGCAGCAGCAGCAGTGGTGGGGGCGGCGGTGTGGAGGATAGAGAGGGCAAAGGGACCATCGCTGGGCCCGGCTGTGTGTGTGGCGTTTGCTGCTGATGGCAGGTCGCTGCTGGCTGCTGCTCCCACGGGAGAGATCGTGGTAAGGCGAGGGGCGGGGGGAAGGGGGTTGTGTGGGTTGTGGGATGTCTCAAATTGAGTTTGGGACGTCTCAAGACTGCTGCAGATGGCAGGTCGCTGCTGGCTGCTTCTCCCACGGGCGAGATTGTGGTAGGTAGAAGGGAGGGATGAAGGGAAGGGAGATGGGTTATGAGATTTCAGATTTGGGTTTCGAAACGTTTCAAACTTGCTGCTGTCCCGCCCTGTTTTCCCCTTGCGTTTTCGTTTCGTCTTGTGCCTGGGCAGGTTGTGGCAACAGGCATGACAGCAACAGCAGCAGCAACAGCAGCAGCAACAGCAGCTATGGCAGCAGGCGCAATGGGATCACCCTCGCCTCGTGCAGCAGGTGCAGGTGCAGGCAGCAAGCGAAGCAAGTCATCGGCGCAGAAAAGACCCCCGCCCTCTCCATCGCCCTCCCCATCACGAGTGGTCGCATCAGCATCCGCATCACCCTCCCCTCAAGCAACGACACCATCAGCAGCAGCAGCAGCAGCAGGGGCAGGGACCAGAAACACCCCTGCCACGTTCACCATCCCTGCGTCCCCCGTTTCCCCGAAACCCGGCGTTTTCTCTCCTGCCAACGCTGCGGCTGCAGCGGCAGCGGCAGCATCGGCAGGGCTGCTGCGGGTGGTGCATCGCTTCCCGCCGTTTGGCGAGCAGAGGGACGGGTGCCTGCCGCCGTCTGTGCGCGTGCTTGCTACCAGCCCCTGCGGCCGCTGGGCCGCTGCTGCTGATGCGTCCGGCAACGCTGCCGTGTTTGATGTCAAGAGGATGAGGTGCGTTGGGTGGTGGGAGAGGGTGAGGAGGTGCCGTGTGTGCGTGTGGTAGGAGGAATAGCTTTTGATAGTTTCCGGTATGTGATGCGTACACTCCGCGCCTCAGTGGCCAAACAGCACAAACGCCAAGCTGAAAGCTTCCCACATGTCTTTCATCCCCGTCCACGTCCTCATCCCTTTCCCGGTCCCCATTCCCGTTCCCGTTCCCGTTCCCGTTCCCACCTCCTCTATCTGTCCATCTCCGCCCTGTCTGTGCCCCTCTGTGTCCACCCCGTGTGTGCCTGTCCGTGAGCAGGAAGGAGTGGGACGTGCCGCCTCTCTCCCACCCGGCGCTTGTCACAGCCATGGCCTTCCACCCCAGCTCTCGCCTCCTCATGCTCGCTACCAACACCAACTCCTTCCGCGTGTTTTTCCTCCCCTCCTCCTCCCCCTCCTCCTCTTTAGTCCTCTCCAAGAGAGCTGCTAGGCGCAGGGATGCCAAGCTGCTGCTGCCTCCCTGGCTCCTGTCAGGGGCTGCTGCTGCTGCTGCTCCGGCTAGCTCCATAGCTCAGCCGCAGCAGCAGGAGAAGACTGGTGCTACCGCTGTTAGCGCCGCTGCGGCTAACGCTGCCGCCGCTGCTGCTGCTGCTGCTGCAGTGCCGTTCACAGAGACGCCATGGAGCGTGGCGAACGAGGCGGTGCTGATGCAGACGCTGCAGCTGCTGCCGGATGGCATTCGAGGCATCTCTATGTCTGCTGACCTGCGCTCGCCCATCGTCATTCTCCACAGCTCCAGGTGTGTATGTGTGCTAGGCTGCGCTGGGCCGGACTGTGCAGTGCATGTGCTGATGCAGACGCTGCAGCTGCTGTCGGATGGCATTCGAGGCATCTCTATGTCTGCTGACCTGTGCTCGCCCATCGTCATTCTCCACAGCTCCAGGTGTGTATGTGTGCTAGGCTGCGCTGGGCCGGACTGTGCAGTGCATGTGCTGATGCAGACGCTGCAGCTGCTGTCGGATGGCATTCGAGGCATCTCTATGTCTGCTGACCTGTGCTCGCCCATCGTCATTCTCCACAGCTCCAGGTGTGTATGTGTGCTAGGCTGCGCTGGGCCGGACTGTGCAGTGCATGTGCTGATGCAGACACTGCAGCTGCTGCCGGATGGCATTCGAGGCATCTCTATGTCTGCTGACCTGCGCTCGCCCATCGTCATTCTCCACAGCTCCAGGTGTGTATGTGTGCTAGGCTGCGCTGGGCCGGACTGTGCATGTGCTGATGCAGACGCTGCAGCTGCTGCCGGATGGCATTCGAGGCATCTCTATGTCTGCTGACCTGCGCTTGCCCATTGTCATTCTCCACAGCTCCAGGTGCGTGTGTGTGTGCATGTGCCAGCCCTTGCTGTTTTGTAAGCACGGTGCAAAGCCTTTCCGCCTCCCCATACCGTCCTCTATTTTCGTCCCCCGTCCTTATTCCCTCCTCTTCATCCTCTCCCCCTTCCCCTGCACTGCGCCGCATCTGCTGTCTCCCCGCTCCTCCCTCTTCCTCCTTCCCCTCTTCTCGTCTCTCCCCCTGCTGTCCCCCCTTCCCCCCTCCCCCCAGAACCCTCTGTGTCGTGGACCTATCCGCCTGGTACTCCCCTGAGCCCTGCGTCACCATTCTCCCTCCACGCCCCCCTATCCGCCCCCTCCCCTATCCGCCCCTTCCCTTTCCGCCCCCTCCCCAATCCTTTCAGGAACCTCTGTGTCGTGGACCTATCCGCCTGGTACTCCCCCGAGCCCTGCGTCACCATTCTCCCTCCACGCCCCCCTTTCCGTCTCCTCCCTTTTCCCCCTTCTTCCCCCCCCCCCTCTGCCCCCGCCCCCCCCCCTCCTCAGGAACCTCTGTGTCGTGGACCTATCCGCCTGGTACTCCCCCGAGCCGTGCCCTTTCCCAGCCCTGCGCCGCTCTCCTCCTGCGCCGCGCTTTGTGGAGCTAGAGCACCGCCTGCTCTTCCTCTCCCACGTGGGGCCCTCGCATCTGCTGGCTGTTGAGAGGCAGTGGCGCCACGTGCTCGCCACGCTGCCGCCGCCCCTGCACAGACACAAGTTCGGGCATGGTTGAGGGGGGTGAGGGTTCGCCAGGGAATGAGGGGTTGGGGGGGGGAGGAGGGGGTCAAGGGGTGAAGGGGACGGGGAGATGAGGGGGGAAAACGAGCCGATGGAGGAGGGAGGGAGGAGATGGGAAAGGGATGGGAAAGGCGGCCGACTGATTGGGAGATCAACTGGCGGCGGGTTGCAGAGAAGCAGTGCGCGAGATGGGAGGGCAGGACTGCTGGTGTCTGCTCTGCACAGGGTCAGGGACTCAGGGATACTGCAGTAGGAGCGTAGGAGGGGAGAAGGGGAGAAGGGGCAGAGCGCCATGGGCATGTGCCATCATGCGATGTCATGCTGTTTGCCTGGGCTCCTGGCTCCAGGCATGTGCTTCCAGGCTGGGCACGGGCATGCGTGGTCTGCTTGGGCTTCTGGCTGCATGAGGCTGGACGCTGGAGGCCTGGGAAGAATTGCCAGTGCATGCGGGCGTTTTGCTTGCTTTTTCAAGCACAGGGTAAAAGCTGCGTGTGGCGTGGCGTGGCGTGGCGTGGCTGTTCCCGAGGCGCGGCTCATGGGCGTTGTGGAGTGCGGTGGAGAGTCGATGTGGAGTGGAGTGCTGTGGAGAATGACGGGCGGCGGCGCTTGATGCGCATCGGAAGGAAGTTGTGGGTGGAGGGTGGAGTGCTTGTAGTGAGGGACTTTAGCTGGGCCGAGGTGCGGTGCATTTGGCATCGTTGGCATCATGGCATGTGGATGGCACAGCCGTGTTTCGTTCCGGTTGGGTTGGGATGGATTGGAGGCGATGCTTGTGGTGGACATGCTGGGGTGTGTGATGGGATGAGCTGAGATGTGAGAAGATGCTTTGTATTGGGAACACTGGGTGGTGGTAGCAGGTGGCTGTTGTGTGTCATGTGTCATTCCTGTTCTTCACTTTTATCAGCTGTGCTGTGTGCACGAGCTTGTTTTACAACTGCCTTGTAGCTTTACTGTTGATCAATTGGCCTGCTACATTCTTGGGAATAGAGTTATACGATTTCTGGGATGTTATCTTCTTGAGGGCCTTGGTTTGCTTGCAATGATAGTGCAAATATTATAACGAGAACCAGTAATCACAAGGTTGATGCCAATCTTACTGAATGCTGAATCACAAATCATGTTATTATGGGATGAAGCACCACCAACATGCATTTCTGGAGTGCAGATTTAATTTGGTCTTACGGCCTCGATGATAGTTAGGTAGTAGGCATGACATAGTGTATCTCAGTGCTAAATGCCAAATCTGCCTGCAAACTTCGCGCACCGCTTTCCGCCCTGCTGTTAGGTGTCATTTCCTTTCTGTCCACATTCCGAACCCCGCTTTCTGCTCTGCAACCTGCTCGCGCCTCCCCCAACAGTTCCCGCCTTATGAACTGTGGGGTAATACCGCTGAGCTGAGATGCTCGCACCTGCCCCCTGATCCTCTCCGCTCCGCTTCACAATTCCCCCCGTTATCCCGCATCACCCACCATCACCTTCCCCCCACCCTCCCCCCACACCCCCGCCTCACATGCCACCATCACCCTCACCTGCCCAGCCGAATTTGGAGATTATCTAGGTTGCTACTTGCCAATAAAGTTAGTTCCAATAGATTAGGCCGCGCCTCGACCTTAGCAGCAAAGCAAGCCTCGATCTTTGCAGGGTACCCTTGGCTCGGTCGATCGATCGACTCGGAACTAGCAAGCCAACGGCCTCGCCGTGGTACCCGCACGCGTAGCTTGCACCATTTTGTGCTGATTTTTCCTGAGCCTTTTCCGATGAGCCGCGATAGTGGTTCGCGAAATTTTACAAGCGCCGCGTTTCATCGCAGGTCGTCATAGTGGTTTTCCGGGAGTAGCAGCTCCAGGCTCGATCTGGCTCGGAAACGGCCAGAAAAGCCATGACTGGGAATTGTCGGCTCACAATTTGGTTGGGCAGCTTTGCGGCATCGGTGGGTCGAGGTGTAAGGACCTCCAGCCTGTCCCCTGGCTCTTGATTCATTGCTACAATCGCTGAGGTTGTTGCAATTGCAACGACGGGTCAGTCGCATACTAAGCGCATCGGACAATAGAGGCCATTCACCTTCCTCTTCGGATTTCTCCATCCATTTTACGAGTCGCAACGGCCACACTGGCCGCCGAAGCGCAAGCTAATTCCTTCAATACATTTTCAGCGGAACGTGCGGTATTACCCCACAGTTCCACTAGTTACAGGCCGTTGGATTAAGCGAGAAACGCATACAAGGCTAGCGTGAGTCAGCCACAGATTTGCCTGCAACACTGTTGCCACGGTGTCTCTGTCAACTCCCTAACCGTAATTCTTTTCGCGTCGGTCGGAGAAGGAGATAGACATATAAAAGCATGCCGCTTCGAGTGTCATCCCGGCGGCCCGCGGAAGCGCACACCCTGAAGAAAACCCCCCCTCAGCTCACCGCCGTCGGTTCGGGTTCCCCCTCCTCCCCGCAAGTATCCACCCCTTCCGCCGGTCTCTCCCCGCAAGTCGCCGTCCCCCGCTCCGCCTCCACCTCCGCTTCCACCCCCGCCACTCATTTCTACTCCGCCGGGCGGAGCTCTCCGCACTGCTACCCCAGCAGCGCCAGCGGCAGCGGCAACAACAGTACCAATAATACCTCGAGATCCGCCGCTAACAGCCCGCAGCGTACGTTCTCCTCCGATGCTGCTGCGTACATCACGTCCCCGTCCCGCCGCCGAACCTCCTCACCAGCCTCGGTAGCAAATTCTCCCGCCGGGCCCGCCTCGTGCAAGGGCCGGGCGAGCCGACTGGAGTGGGCCGAGCCGAGCTCGTCAGGCTCGGCAACACCAGCAGCAGCAAGCGGCGGGGGTGGAGGAGGAGTGCGAGCAGGATTGGGAGTTGCATCAGCGGCAATTAACTCGTTCAGTCCGCGCGTGGGCAGTGCCGTGAACGGTGCGGTGACCGGGAGTACCAATGCTGACGGCAGCGGCGGGCGCAGCAGCACGTACGGCACCACCGCGCCTTCCGTAGCGAACGGCGCAGCGGACCCCTCTGGCCCCTGTGAGGGGAGCGCTGCTCTGTCAGACAATCCCGCCCCCTTTCCCTCTTCCGCTTCCGCCTCCGCTTCCCCTTCCCCTTCCCGTTCCGCCAAGCACTGGCCGCTCGCCACCCTTGGACTTTCCACGTCAGCTGATAACGTTGCTGTTGCGGCCTCTCCATCTGCTGCTTCCGCTGGTGGTGCTGGTTCCTTCAGTGCAAGCCATATTGGTACCAGCAGTCCGGTATCAGGCCGTCTCTCCTCCACATACCGCCCTTCCACGCACCCCCAATCCCCCATCCGCCCCTCCGCTGCTTCCCCGTCCCCTCGCCCTTCCGCCGCGTCCCCCTCCCCGCGCCCTCCCCCGTACCGCCACGGCTGCAACTCCGCCGCTATCCGCTTCTACGTGCGCGCATTTCTGCACCTGCTCTGGTCGCTTGCCGCGGGTTGGGGGCTCGCGCTGGGGTCCATGGTCGCCTCCCCGCGGGGGAAAGGCGTGGGCGCGCACGCGCGCCCCGCGGGCAGGCGCGCGCAGGCGTACCGCGGGGCTGGCGGATTCGGGGCGGGATGGGGCGCGGGGTTCGGGGGAGGGGGTCTTGGCGGAGGGTTTGGGGGGTTGTGGGGCGGGGGAGGAGGGGGCATAGGAGGAGGCGGAACGTTTGGATCCCTACCCGTGATTCTAGGACTGGTGGTGACGTCGCTGCTGCTCCTGAACCACGCAGCTCATATAAGGCAATCCGCGTTAGAAGCAGCCACGGAGGGCACGAGCCGGTCGCGGTTGCTCGCGGCGCAGCAGCAGCGCGCGGCGGCTGTGGCAGCGGCAACCGCGGCGGCCGCAGCCGCGTCAGGAGGCAAGGGGGCAGCAGGCGGGCGAGGGTTGGCTTTCGAGGGGAGAATGGGCGCATCCGCGAATCTAAACCCATGTGTGGACGCGGGTGGTGCGGCTGGTGGGGGAACAGCATGGCGGCAAGGGGGAGGAGGCAGCGTGAGTGGGAGTGGCAGCAAGGCGGGGGGTTATGGGCGGCTTAGGCGGCTTTCTGACTGGTTTGGGTCGCTGGTAGGGTCCCGGACAGATGCTGCTATGGAAGAGGAAGATGAGAGGCGTATGGCGAGAGCGAGGATAGGCGACCAGGAAGCAGCAGGCAGCAGGGCGGGTGCACGAGCAGGGGGGGGCGCAGGAGCAGGGGCAGGGGGAGCGGAAAGGGTAGAAGGGGCAGGAAACGGAGACTCTGAGAATTCCGACGATCCCTCCACTACTTCTGCTTCCTCCGTGCCATGGTTCCCGCCAATCCCGTCCTATATGAGCACGCCGCCTATAGTCATCTTTGCAGCGCCAGAGCCTTTCTCCACGGAACCCAGGGATCCCCAGCTGATCGCCCTGCGCTCCTGGCTGCACCTGGCACCAGCTGTCCGGGTTGTCCTATTAGGCTGCGACGACAGCCTGGTGCGGGCGGCAGTGCAGCTCAGTGCCGCCCTGCCGGGGGCGTACCGGCAGGGGGGGTTTGCGCCAGTGGCGGCGGATCTGGAGGTGGAGTGTAACCTGTTTGGCGTGCCGCTGTTAGGATCAGTGCTCCATAGAATGGCTGTGAATCTCCAACGCATGCAGGATGCAGGTGCTGCTCACGCCATTGCTGCTGCCGCCGCTGCTGGCGATGCTGCTGCTGCTGCTGCTCGTGGTGGTGATAGTGTTGGGGAGGGAGGAGTCGATAGTACTGCGGAGGTTGGTGACTGGAACTCCGACTCTTCCTCCTCCTCCTCCTCCTCTGCCTCTGCTCATGTTCTCTTGCCTGAGCCCCCCATAGCGCTCCTGGTGAAAGCAGACGCTATTCTCCTCTCTGACGTCGTCCCTTCTCTAATCAAACTCGCCTCCTCCTTCCCCACTCCACCCCTCCCTCCAGCCACCCCCTCCTCCTCTCCTTCCTCCTCCTCTTCCTCCTCCACCTCCTCCTCAGGCTCCACCTCCTCCTCCTCTTCTTCCACTGCCGCCTCTGCCGCCACCGCCGCCGCCACGTCAGACCGCCGCCCGCCGTCGTGGATGGCCGCAGGCGCCAGCTGGCAGGTGGGCAGCGCGGATGAGCTGGCTCTAGATCTGGTCATGGGCATGGCCGCAGCAGCAGCAGGTGGTGGAGGAGGCGGAGGGGGATCAGCCGGGGGAGGGGCAGGGGGAGCGGGAGGGGGGGAAGTGGATTTACCCGGGGTAATGGGAGAGGGGGTGGAGGATCAGAGGGTCCTGGAGCGAATGGCGGATGGCGGAGGGATGGAGGGGGAAGAGGAAGGTGGAGAGGGGGAGCAGCAGCAGCGTATTGGGGGGGATGGCCAGGGGAAAGGCTTGGGGGGCACATCAGCGGGGGATTTAACCGAGGAGGAGAGGGCGTGGGTGCGTGTGCAGGGGAGGGTGCGGCAGCGGGTGAGAGGCGGGGGGGTGTTGCAGACGCGAGGGGCAAGTAGCTGGTGGGCGTGGGGGGGAGGCGCGGCTGCTTTACGCTGGTTTGCGTCCTCTCCCCGCCCGGTCCCGCCTCTTGCGTTTGGGCATGGGACGCTGTTTGATGCTTGGATCACGGCGCGCATGGTGGCGGTTGGCAGGGGCGTTGCTGCAGCAGCAGTGGCGGCAGCAGCGCAACGCACTGCTACAGCCACTGGTGCTGCTGCTGGTGGTGGTGGTGGTGATTCTGGTGCCGGTGCTGCTGGTGCTGCTGGGGTTGACGGGGCAGCGTTTGCAGGGTTATCCCTCGCCGCATGCTTTGTAGACAATCCCAGCCCTGTTGGCTCTGTTGCAGGCGCCGCCAGCCTCCATCCCTCCCTCTCACTCAACCCACACGTGCCCTCCAATGCTCACTCACGCTCCGCCCTTGTCTCACCATTTTCTTTCTCTGCTACAGCCGCAGCTGCTGCCGCCTCAGCAGCAGCAGCCGCCGCCGCTTATACCGCCTCGTGCCCTCCTCCCTTTGTCGACGCCAGCGACGTCGTCACGTGCTTCCACCTGGCGTCGCGGGATTGGGTGCGGCGGGTGCTGCCTAAAGGACGGCCGTGGAGCACAGGAGCAGTGCAGGGGGGCAGGAAGAGGAGGACTTCACAAATGGGCCGATGGGAACCCGCAGCTAATGAGTTCTTACTCGCCACTGCTGGGTGTTTTGGAAATGGGACCTGCGCAGGGGATGGCATGGGGGGGGTGGTAGGCGCAGGGACGCTGGTGGGGAGGGGGGAGGGGGCGAGGGGGAGGAGAGGGGGGGTGAGTGTGGGGGAAGAGGAGGCGGCGGGTGTGGCGATGTGGCTGGGAGGGGATGGGAGGGAGCTGGCAAGGAAGAATGGCACGGCGCATCATGGCACATGGTCGCTCATGGCGTGTGCTGATACCAGTGGTGAGCGCATGGCGTGTGCTGATACCAGTGGTGAGCGCATGGCGTGTGCTGATACCAGTGGTGAGCGCATGGCGTGTGCTGATACCAGTGGTGAGCGCATGGCGTGTGCTGATACCAGTGGTATGCAACGTTGCCCACATGGGAGTCGTTATACATACGGACAAGACGTCTGATCTCAGCTCTCGTATTCTCCCTTCTTCGTCGTCGCTTGTTGTCCTGGTGTTTACTCTGGTGAAGTGTGCTGATCCAACCAAATCTCTATTTCATATTTCCCCCTCCCACCTGTCCTGTGCTCCCCACCTTCTCCTCTCTCCCCTCTCCCCCCTCCTCCCTCTCTTCTCTTCCTTCTCCCATCTTCCCTCTCCCCTCTTCCCTTTCCCCTCTCCCTCTCCCTTCTCCCTTCTCCCTTCACACCCGTCCCCACCACTCCCCTCCTCCCTCTCGCCTCCCCCCTTTCCCCCTCTCCTTTCTCCCTTGCTCGCCCCCATCCGCTTGCAGCCAATCACGTGTGTCTGAAGCCGCGCCTCCGTCCAGCCATCTGCGCATGTGACCTCGCGCCCTTCACGCCCGCCTCACAGGGCGACACCACCCTCAACGCCCACAACCGCTGGATCTGCGCTTCCCCCGGCAAAAAAAACCCCCCCTCCTCTCTTACAAATTCTCAAACGTCTCTTCTCTCCCCTCTCCTGTCCCTTTCCTCCCCCATCCTCCTCTCCGTTCCCCCTCTCCTTTCTCCCTTGCTCGCCCCCATCCGCTTGCAGCCAATCACGTGTGTCTGAAGCCGCGCCTCCGTCCAGCCATCTGCGCATGTGACCTCGCGCCCTTCACGCCCGCCTCACAGGGCGACACCACCCTCAACGCCCAAAACCGCTGGATCTGCGATTCCCCCGACGACCCCTCCTTTCCCATCTCCCCCTCCCACGCACCGCACCCCACCGCTCTCATCGACCCTGCTGCCGCCAAGGCAGCCGCTGCAGCCCCGGCGAACGACCGTGCTGCTGCGTCTCTGCTCAGGCAAACCCCCGTAGTTCCCATGGAAGATGTGTTACCGCTCGTGGCCCTGCGGGAACCGGGCGGAGTGAAAGTGGTGGTGCTGGTCGCGGTAACCTTTGGCTACGCACACATGCTCATGAATTTCTACTGTAATCTCCGTCGCCTCGGCTTGGGGAACCGCCTTGTGGTCGCAGCCCTCGATGCCGATTTGTACCGGTTTGCCTTCTCCCAAGGCCTTCCGGTGTACTATGAAGGGCCGGCGGCAGGGGGCGGCAGCGCAGGGGGGGTAAAGGTCGGGGAGGAGTCGTGCGAGTATGGAACGCTGTGCTTTAAGAGATTCACGAAGCTTAAGTCGCGAGCGGTGCTGCGTGCTCTGCGAGCCAGGTACTCTGTGTTGTGGACCGACGTGGATATTGTCTGGTTCTCCGATCCTCTCCGAGACCTGCTCAGGTTCGGGCCCGGGACGCTGCCGATCCAGAGCAACGAGCCGGACGCGGCCCGGCCTCCGCACGGGAAGAGGAGGATTAATTCCGGGTTTTACTTTGGGAGGAGTGACGAGGCGACTATTGCTGCGTTTGAGGCGATCGTATCAGCGGCAGCCAAGACAGAGTTGTCAGAGCAGCCTAGTTTTTATGATGTGCTGTGCGGGGAGAAAGGGCAGAAGAAGGTGCGTGGGAAGGCGCAGTGCTTGTGGAAAGGCATCAGTGTGACGAGTGCGGGCGGCAAGCAGAAGACAACACCAGTCGCTGTTCGGACCATCTTTCTTGACAGAAAGAAGTATCCCAACGGGGCTGTGCACGGGTTTTGGGACGCGGCGAACGTGAGCGAGGCGTGCCAAGAGGCGGGGTGCGTGATTCTGCACAACAACTGGATCAGCGGGAGGGGCAGCAAGGAGAGGAGGCTGGCGCGGCATGGGTTCTGGCAGTACGACATTGACGGGAGGAAGTGTTTGGACCGGCCGTTGAGCGAAGAGCAGCTTGTGGCAGAAGAGGAGGCGAGAGCGGCCGGGAGTGGGTTCGACAGTGCTGAAGGGAAGAAAGGAAGTTGATGATGGAGGGCTGGGCTGCGCTGGTAGAGAGGGGTGTTACTGGATGATGTCCTAGCTTGGTTGCGGAAGGTCCTGTTTTATTTGTTTATGTATTCATGTCAGTACATTGTCTATCTAGTGATTATAAGCTCGCAAGTATCCTTAAGCTGGCCTCTTGTTCAGGAACACCCCCCTCCTCCCCCCACCCCCTCTCTCCCCCAACAAGCTCATCTCCCAAGTTAGAGTGTCCTGTCCAGATACCCCATTTCTCCATTGGTTTATGGGCAGGTGTGGCACAAGAGACATGACCAGAACCAGAAGGCAACAGCTCATATCAGAGCCCCCCTGACAAATGCAGCCCATTGTGGATGATCATGAGGTAGGTGAGATGCGTATTGATATTTGACCCGTTTGAACAGCATGACCGCAGCCACAGGAAAGCTAGTGAGAACAATTTCCATATGAAACATTAAATGACTGTACTTACAGTGTCAGTCAACTATAGCCAGCATTGTAAAACAGAAACGTGGCGTTTGGTGTACATGATCTGTGAGGCTGCAGCTGGCGCGAGTGGCTGTGATTGGCCCTCAGATTCTCCTGTCGTTGTCAGTAGCCTCGCCTCGCCTCGCCTCGCCTCGCCTCGCCTCGCCTCGCCTCGCCTGCCTCGCCTCGCCTCGCCTCGCCTCGCCTCGCCTCGCCTCGCCTCGCCTCGCCTCGTCTCACCACCACCGCCAGCCATACCTCGCCCCGCATTCCCTCACCTCACAAGCGAGTAGGTAGAGCAGAAAGGACAGATATGATTGACTACAGATTACTATGTACAGTAGTATCGAGCTTCCCTGAAACTTGAGCGGCCCTAAAGATCAATGTTTAGTGCGCTGGATCTTAGTGGTAATCGCGATCAGGAATGTGTCGCCGTTTTGCAGCAAGGGTTGGTATTCCTGGGAGAAACAGCATAGATCCGGTAGAGCAACGAGGGTGCGGCAACAGCGAAGGTAGAAGATTTGCGTGACGTTCTGCTGATCGCGTTCGGCTTGCTTTCCAGGCGTGCGTTACCGCGATGTCCGCCTGATGGACCTTAGCTGTAGCCGGCGATCTCCCCGTTTTACCCGCTCCTTCTCGGCTGCCAAATAGATGTGGCATAGCCCGTAGACCGCGTAACATCCTTTCCTATCCAAGCCTTTTTCTACTGGTTGGTAGGCACGGTGGGAGGTCCTCTGGGAGGAGCGGGATTGTGTGGTGGTGTGAGGACGCAAGGTTTCCCAGTCAACGCTTCTGAAATCCTCATTCTTCATAAGCTGTCTCCACCAGTCGCATTTATCTAGGGTTCGGGTTCTATCTACGATCAAGTCTCTGCTAATTCAGAGTCGAATCTCATAGCAGCAACAGCTCCTCCGCTGGTTCAGAGTCTCCAATATGGGCAAGTCCAAGGAACCGCTTCTTCCCTTCACCTCCTCAACAGTCTCTCGGGATTCCTCCTCCACCTCCATCAATGGCTCTTCCTCGCTCCCCACCTCGTCGTCCTCCTCCTCCCTCTCCTCCAACCCCAACGTCGCCATCGCGCTGCTTCTCGTCTCCCGCCTTCGCGACGCGATGCGGCAAGCAGCAGCGCAGCAGCGGCCATGGCTGGAGCTCGTCGATCGCACCGCTTTTGCTCGCCCGGAGAGCCTCTCCGACGCAGCGAGCCGCATCCGCAAGAACAACCGCTACTTCCACGCGAATTACCTCGTCGTCCTCTTCCTCGCTATAATCATCTCCGTTTTGCACAACCCGTTCGCCATCCTCTGGCTCGCGATCCTCGCCGCTGCCTGGGGCTACACATTCCTGTTTCGTCCCGGACCAATCACCGTAGCCGGGCGGTCGTTCAGCGAGCGGGAGAAATTAATCATCATGTGCCTTCTATCCGCGTTAATAGTCTTCGGCCTGAGCCCTCTCGGGTCGGCGGTCATGTCGGGAACGGTGATAGGAGTGGCTGTAATCTGCGTCCACGCGGCGTTCCGAGTCCCTGACGATCTCTTTCTAGATGACTCCGCGGACGGGCTTGCTGGTCTAGGCTTGGGCGCGGGCGCAGGCAGCAGCAGTGGATGGTTCAACTTGCTGCTTGGAAGCAGCACGGGGGGCGTGGGAGGAGTGGGGGGAGTAGGGGCGGTGGGTGGGGTCGGGGTGGGAGTGGGAGTGGGAGTGGGAGGGGTGGGTGGTGTGGGGGTTGGAAGAGGGGGAGTTGGGCTCAAGGGAAGTGGTGCAGGAAGGGGAGGCAGCAGCGGCGCGAGCAAGGCCAGCAATAGTAGTGTGAGCAAGATGGACATTCCTAGGCGACACTCAGCATCAACTCTCGAGTCTGTTGTCTAGTCTAGCTGCCTAGGGAGAATACGGTAGGAGGCACTGCAGCATAGTGTAGTCTGGCATTGTCAACATCACCTAGCTATTTGCCCCTTTTTTCTTCCTAGATTTTGTCCTGGTTGGTACCGTGATTTTCTTAGTGTGTTGTTTGTTCCCGTCCATGGCCCCTTCCACCCATTCTGTTGCAAGGATTAGGGAGGAGATCGAAGTGGGCGTTTTTCCAGCGACTGAAATGCAAGGCTTGAAGTCTCCGAATTGTCAGCATGATGAGATGCTAGGCATGCAATTTTAGGCATAATAACTTCTGAGTTGTGTAGCATTTTTACTGGTGTAAGCCTTCACTAGACCAGGAGAGATTAGCAATGGACTGATGCTAATGATAGTTTACAGTAACAAATGTGGAAAGTCATGATATAGCTAGAGGAGCCCGGTGCAGTACAATATATAAGAAATTGCAATGAGGTTCTGTGATGACAATGACGCTGCCACTACCGAGGTTCACCTTTTCCCCTGACCTTTTCCTATCATCCACGAGAGGTTTTCTCTCCCAATAGCCGGGAAAAAAGGGTATTTCCATTTGCTGTGTTGTTCCACGGTGTACTCTTGCGATTCGCGAATCGAGGTCACCACAATCCCAATTTGCGATAACAAATTGCGATTTCCCGCTACCGCTACAGTATGTCCCTTCGTCTTTCCTTTCCATTCCACCCCTAGTCCCCCACTTGTTTCTCTGTTTCCAACTTCCCAGGTCTCTGTTTCTCTCTTGTTCTTCCCCTATCCCATCCCATCCCATCTCCAGCCCAAAAAACCCAGGTTTCTCCCACTCTCCCGTCCCGTCGCATAATGCTCGAAAACGAAGTTCACGAGTTGGTTGAGGATTACAGAAATCGACTGGAGAGACGACACGCTGCCGATACGGCCTCCATGGATAAACGTAAGCGTCGGGAGGATGAGGGCGAAGATGCGGATGAGGATCGTCTGGTAGGCCCGGCAAAAATACAGTGTTGTGCAACAGGAGGTTATTGCCGAGGTGAAGCGATTAACTCCGTCGCTAACCACGAGGAGGTAATATTTGCTACAAATATACTCGATAGCGTCAGAGGGCAATCTGGTAGTGGCTGTAGGAACGACTGCCAATACGCGATAGCTAGCAGCAGCTGTGGCAACGACAGGGGCTGCTCGGCAGGTTTATTACCTGAGGAGGTATGGCAACACGTGCTGCTACTGCTTCCTCCCGCTTCCATCCTCTCGTTGGCTGCCACGTGTCATCAGTTTTTTGAAATATCTCTCGCGGACGCCGTGTGGGAATCTGTGAGCGAGCGCGATTGGGGAAAGCAGGCTGCGCGCGGCGCTGCTTCCGCCGTCTTCCCCGTTCCCCGGACCCCCTTCGTGTCTCCCCCGCCGCCTTTGTCGCCGTCGCTGCCGCCGCCGCCGCCGCCGCCGCAGCAGCAGCCTCAGGCGGAGTCTCAGCAGCAGAAGACGCAGCCGACAGTGCAAGCGGTGCTGGCCGGCAGATGGTACTCCTTTTACCGGTCCGTTAGTGCACTTGACGGCCTGGCGTGGCGCGGCGTGGAAGAGAGGGGCGAGAAACGGCCGGTAGGAAGAGCGTCGCACGGCATGGCGCAAGTGGGGTGGGGGTCGTTAGATGCATGTAGGGCGGTAGGGGGGGTGCAACCGCCACCAGCAACATCAGCAGCAGCGACAGCAGAAGCAGCAGTAGCAGCGGCGTCGAGACCAGCGGCGTGGGAAACGGCGGAAGCACCTGTTGTGATGTTCGGTGGGGGATGCAGTGGGGGCCAACACCTGTCCGACACGTGGCTGCTCCACCCCCTCCTTCACGCCCCCTCCTCTCTCCCAACCCCTCAACCTTCCCGTCCCTCCCCTCTCTCCCCATCGCTTCCACCACCACCCGCCTCGCGCCCTTCCCCCGTCCCGTCTTTCAATTCCGAGGTGACGTGGCAGCCTCTCAGTGGCCCCGCAGGTCAGGCTGCTGAGACGGTCGAGGCTGGGCGGGCGGGCGGGGCTACGCTAGGGGCACGACCGGGGAGGCTCCAGCAGCAGCGGGGGCAGCGGCAGCAGCAGCAGCAGGGGCAGCAGCAGCGGCGGCGGCAGCAGGCATGTGCAAGCGCTTGTGAGAAGCATAAGGAAGAGGTGGGACCAGGGGGGCGGTTTCAGCCCAGCATGACAGGTGTGGACGGAAGCGTGGTGGTGATGTTCGGAGGAATCAACGACCTCGGCCAACGGCTCGATGACACGTGGCTCTTTGGCCCAACGCAACGGGAGGCTGCCCAGGTTATCCTCCCTGGCTTTACTCCTGCTGCCCCCGCGGCTGCTGGTGCTGCTGCTGCTGCCGGCACACCTGCTACTGGCAGTCACGGTGGTACCAACCCTGCTGCTACAGTTTCGGTGCAACAGCAAATTGACTGGCAGTGGCAGCAGCTGCATCCCGCGGTTTCCCCCCCGGCCAGGGGAGCACACGCAGGGACGCACATGGGGGGACAGCGGGTGGTGGTGTTCGGCGGTATAGACTCTGCTGGCCGTAGGCTCTCCGATGCGTGGTTGCTAGACTTGGCGGATGAGCCAATCACGTGGCGACAGCTGGAGATGTTGGGTGGGGAGGAGTGGGGAGACGGTGGGGGAGGAGGGGGTGGGGTAGGGAGGGAAGGAGGGGGTGGGGTCGGGAGGGGAGGGGATAGTGGGGTGGAAGGTGCTGGGGGAGATGTGGGAGCAAGTGGAGGTGAAGGGAGCGATGGTGGTGGTGATGCTGATGCTGATGCTGATGCTGCTGGTGATGATGATGGTGGTGGTAGCAGAGGAGCCGTGGTTGCTGTGGCTGCGAGTACCAGCAGTAGCAGCAACACGAACAGCAGAAGGAACAGGATCAGTGACAGGGACAGGAGCAGAAGAGGAAGGCACGCGTTGCCGTGTGCGCGATCAGGCCATTCCCTGACAGGGGTTTGTGATCGGACAGCGGTGCTGATAGGTGGCAGGGGGGCAGGCATGGAGGTTCTCAGTGACGTTTGGATTATGGAGTTACAAGGGGACACTGTTGCTAAATGGACTTTACTGGACAGCAAGGAAGACTATAACGGGGATGGTGGCTGTGACGGGGTTGGGGGTGGCCTTGCAAGTGGGGGTGAAGGGATCAAAAGGATCGAAGGAGCGGAAGGAGCGGAAGGAGCGGAAGGGATGGAAGGAATGGGAGGGATGGAAGGGACGGAAGGGGAGGGTTTGGTTGGGCCTGGGCCGAGGGCCGGGCATTCTGCAACGCGGTTGGTGGACGGGCGGGTGGTGCTGTTTGGGGGCGAGGGGGAGAACAGGGACCGGCGGAACGACCTGTGGGTCTTGGATGTGAGGAAGAGAGTGAGGGCCCTGGGCTGGTGCGGTGAGAGGCGTGGTGGTGCGATGTGTAGTGGTGTGTGTGGTGGTGTGTGTGGTGGTGTGCGTGGTGGTGTGTGTGGGGCTGTGAGCGAGAGGCAGGCAGTGGGGTTGCTAGAGGGGGAGGGGAGATGGGTGAATGGCCGGTTGGTGGGTGCGGAGCTGAGGGAAAGAGGGGAGTTGGAGCGTGAAAGGTTGGAGGGTCGAGGGTTGGATGGTCGAGGGTTGGGGGGGGATTATTATGCGGAGGGTTTGAGAGAGTGTGCGGTACGTGGTGGGGGTGCTAGGAGTGGGGGAGGGCCAGTGGAGGAGGTGGGCGGCTGTATGGATGACAGAGGAAGAGAGGGTGGTGAGAGTAGTGGCATGGAAACACGAGGGGGGCGAGTAGCGGGAGGGACAGGTGTAGGGGGAGGAGGCACACAAGAGAGAGGAGGAGACAGACGAGAAGGTGGAGGAGGAGAGAGGACAGAGGAAGGAGAGAGAGGAGGAGAGAGAGGAGGAGGAGGTAGGGGAGGAGAGAGAGGAGGAGGCAAGGAGATTCAGGTAGTTCCAACAGTTGCAGAGGGGGCGTGTGAGTGGAAGCTGAAGGCGGTGTCTGAAGCAGGGCAAGCTGGTGGAGTGCCTAGAGCAGCAGAGGCGGCACAGGATGCCCAGGTGGTGCAGCAGCAGCAGCAGCAGCAGGGGAGGAGAGGGGGAGCTCTGACTCACCACCACAGACTTCCTGCTGCTGTTCCTTGTCTGAGCACACAGACAGGCACAGATAGAATACTACCTGTAGCGCCAGCTGTAGCTCCCACCATAGCACAACCAGCAGCGACAGCAACGGTAACAGCTGCAGCAGTGGCACCAGCAGTACGAGAAGCACCTACGGCACGAACCACAAGCAATCCACCTGTACCCCCACTCTCCCTGCCATCACCCCAACCAGCCTTGAAGCAGGCCCCAAAGCGGCACCCATACTGGCACCGGGTGCAGGCACTGGGAGTAGCACCAGCAGCAAGGGCGTACCATGGGGCTTGTGCTGTGGCAGGGGGCACGGCTGTGCTTGTGTATGGAGGCATGGTGGACCGGACGTCCCCCGTGGGAGGGGATGCTCGTGCTGGGGGTTATGGTGCTGCGGTTGTGGGCCATAGTGGTGCCAGGCAGAATGCTGCTGCTGGTGGTGCTGCTGCTGCTCCTGGTGCTGCTGCTGCCACTGCTGGTGGTGTAGCAGCTGCTGCTGCTGCTCATTCCCCTGCACGTGCTCCTGCTCCTGCTGCTCCTGCTGCAAGGAGTGGTGGTGTGCAGTTTGACGATTCATTGCATGTGCTGTATATTGTGCCTCCCTGCGTGCTGCCAACACCCCCGTAAAAGGAATTGGGCTAAGCGGGAACTGGAGATTCTTTTTGCTGTCCTTGTGCGGTCTTTGCTTGGTTCGGTGAGGGAAAGTGCAGAAGGGAGAGAGGGGGGAGAAGCTAGAATCAGTATGGTATGCTGTGTGGATGTAGGGGACGTGTACGGTATGTATGTAGATGTATGCGGTGGTTGTACTAGTGTATATGGTGATCTAGGCTGCTCTAGATTCCTCTGCAAATCACACAGGAAACATATAATTGGCTAGGCTTACTGGGTCTGTTAGTATCTGATTTACTCTGCCAAAAAACTAAAGGTTGGGATGAGCCATAACAGCGTACGAATAAGTTGGTCAGTGTTATTCAAAACTTTGAGCGAGTGTAACGATTTTTTCGTGAAGAGTGAAACGTTGATCGAAGCGAAGCCGCTGTTTGAGCAGATACTGCGGTTGCGATCAGCGGGTCAGCAATGGCGCTTAGTCTCTGGAATTAGTAACTCGGGTTTTATTGCTTAGTCATCGTCAGTTTCAGCTGTGCCAACAATCACGCTGTTGGTTGCGTCACACACACACACATAAACAGACTCCTCCGTCCGTCCGTCACCGTCACCGTCTCGAAAGAGGAAAACGGCTGAATCGAAACCCGACACTCGCAGGTCACCCCCCCCCTTTCACCGGCACTACGTAGCGCGCGCGGCTCATGAGCAACCGCGGAGGGGCAGCTCTGTGTAGGGACTTCCAGCGGGGCAGGTACGGGCGGGTAGGCAGGTCGGGTCAGGCAGACAGGTGGGGACAGGGATGGCAGGCACGGGCAGGCAGGGTAGAGAGGCAGTTGGACAACGGCGGCAGGTAGGACCAGTGCAAGGGACACACACACGCAGCAACCGCGGAGGGGCAGCTCTGTGTAGGGACTTCCGGCGGGGCAGGTACGGGCGGGTAGGCCGGTGGGGACAGACAGGGTAGGGTACAGAGGCAGTTGGGCAATGGAGCAGGTACGATCGACCAGTGCAAGGGACACACACACGCAGCAACCGCGGAGGGGTAGCGTTGCGTAGGGACTTCCAGCGCGGCAGGAACGGGCGGGTAGGCAGGTCGGGGCAGACAAGTGGGGTGAGTAAGCGCCACGACAATTTCTGTCTCCTCCGCTTCCCTGTGCTTGCTCCCATGTTCTCTCCGTCCTCTGCTGACCCGCACACACCCACCTCTCTCTCCCTCTCCCTCTCCCTCCCCGTCCCTCCCTGTCGCCTCCCGTCCCCTCCTCGCGCCTCTCGTGGCAGCTGTCGCTTTGGGGCGCGCTGCAGGTTCTCGCACCAGGCTCCCGCTCCCGCGCAGCAGCAGGCACCACGCGTACGCATGCATGCATGGCGTGGCATGACGTGGGGTGGGGTGGGGTGGGGTGGGATGGGGTGGGGTGGGGTGGGGTGGGATGGGATGGGATGGGATGGGATGGAATGGGATGGGGTAGGGTGGGGTGAAGTGGGGTGGCATGGCACGGGATGGCGTGATGTTGTTGCTGTTGACAGCACAGCTTGACCTGCCCCGCTCTTTATGGAGGAGGCAGGAAGCTGACGCTTGGCACAGGGCATGCACATAAGGAGGAAGGCAAGGCAAGTCAAGCAGGCATGCACACGCTTATGCTTGTTCCCGCCCTCTCTTTCCTGCCTGCCTGCCATGTGCCCCTGCCCCGCACCGCACACCATTCTTATCATCCTCCTGCGCCCTCTGCGCGTCTTCCTCCCCACCCACTCGTATGCTCCTCCCCGTCCCTCTTCCTTTCCCGCTCTCCCCCTCTCCCTCTTCTCCTCCCCCTCTTCCCCTCCCCCTCTTTCCCTTCCCCTCTTCCCCTCCCCTTGCCTCCCTCCCCCGCCCCTTTCCCCCCCCATCAGGGGAACCGCTACGCGGAGCCCAGTGGACAGTGGGGTGGGGGGGGCGGATGGGGGGGAGGAGGTGGCAGGGGGCAGGGGGGAGGGGGAGGAGGTGGAGGGGGGCGGGGAGGGCGCGGAGGGGGGGGTGGGGGACGGCAGGGAGGGGGTGGGGGGCAGCAGGTTGTGCCTCGAGAGCACAGGTGAGGGGGACGGGCGAGGGAGGAGGAGGGTGGGGGGAGGAGGATGGAGGAGGGTGGTTGAGATGGGATTCGTTTTGAGTCGACTCAAAATGCACCTGGATGGTTGATTGATATGGGATGGGATGGGTGGCATGGGTGGCATGGGGATGCCTGGTTTGCTTCGTCGAGCAGTGTGTGAGTGATGTGTTGTGCTGACTTGCTGTCATGACCCATGCCATGCCATGCCTTGCCATCATGAACCGCCCCCATGCCCCCATGTCACCGTGTCACTGGATATTGCTCAGTGCGCGCATGCACTTCCACTTTTGTGTGCTTGTGCACAAGCACAATAGCATGGCCTGGCAGCATGGCATGGTGAAGCATGGTGTAGCATGGGGACGCATGGGGAAGCATGGGGAAGCATGGGGACGCATGGTAACGCATTAATTCCCCAGCATCACACCTCATGCCATGCCCACTGCATCAGGCACTCACCCACTCACTTACCCACTCACTCACCCACTCACTCACCCACTCACTTACCCACTCACTCACCCACTCACTCACCCACTCACTTACCCACTCACTTACCCACTCACTCACCCTCTCACTCACCCACTCACTCAACCACTCACTCACCCACTCACTCACCCACTCACTCAACCACTCACTCACCCACTCACTCACTCACTCACTCACTCACTCACTCGCTACCCCGTGCACCTTGCATCTTGCACCTCATGAGAGATCTTTGAGAAAAAAAAAGAAAAAAAATAAACCCTCAGTCACGATCACATGTGCATGCATGCACCTTGCACCTCCTTTCCCCCTTTCCTTCCTGTCCCTCTGTCCCTCTGCCCGTCTGCCCCGTCTGCCCCTCTGCCCCCCTGTCCCCCTGTCCGCCTATCCCTGCCCCACCCCGTCCCCCACGGCAGCTGCACGGATCGGCTGGACTGTGAGTCGATCATAGCAGAGGATGTGGAGAATGAACGCCCGATGTGGCGCCCATCTGTATACGCACACTGGAAGTAGTGAGTGCCTCCGCTGCCCTGCCTCTCATGCCTCTCATGCCTCTCCACTGCCCTGCCCCACATGCATGCCCGCCCATGTCCCATGCCCGCCCATGTCCCATGCCCGCCCTTGTCCCATGCCCGCCCATGTCCCATGCCCGCCCATGTCCCATGCCCGCCCCACCGCTTCTGCACTGCAAACACCCTTTCACTGCGCTAAAGCATCCCCCAAACCCCTCCCCCACACCCCTCACTCCACCCAACACCATCACTTCCCTTCCCACTCCCCTCCACTTTAACCCAACCCCCCCCGCTTCCCCCTCTCCCCCCTTGTGTGTGTGTGTGTGTGTGTGTGTGTGTGTGCCCACTGCACAGCATGCAATGGCACAGTCTACCCTGCAATGTGGGCTCGTCTTCTCTTTTTTGTCGACCCAACCCTCTCCCCCAACCTCCTTACCCCGGCCCCCCCCGACTATTTTGTGTTTGTGTGTGTGTGTGTGTGTGTGTGTGTGTGTGTGTGTGTGTGTGTGTGTGTGCTGGGCACGGCATGCAATGGCAGAGTCTACCCTGCGACGTGGGGTCAGATGTGAGTCCAAAGGAGGCTCGTCTGCTCTTTTTTTGTCGACTCAACCCTCCCCCTCCAACCCCCCTCCTCCCCCTCCACCCCCCCCCCCCTCCCCCTACCCCACTATTGTGTGTGTGTGCATGGTATGCAATGGCAGTTTACCCTGTGATGTGGGGACAGATGTGAGTCCAGAGGAGGCTCGCCTGCTCGCCTACACACAGGCGGCTCAGGGCGTTCCCCTGCCCTCCATTGTCAGTGCTGCACCGTGCATACCACACCACACCACACCACACCACACCACACCACACCACACCACACCACACCACACCACACCACACCACACCACAGTGTATCATGCCATGCTGTTCCATGTGTTGCATGCCTTCTCATTTCCCTGTCCATGGCATACTGTTGTGCCGTGCCACGCCATGCAACCTCATCACGCTTAAACCCGCTGCCCAGCATCCCTCCGCTTCCCTTCCCCATCCACCACCCTTTCCCCCCCTCCCCTCCCCTCCCTCCCCCTCCTCCCCCTCCTCCCCGCCCACCCTGCCCTCGCCCCCGCTCTCCTCTACTCCCTCCCCAGGTAGCATCTGAGCGGGCCATGCTCGCCAATTTTTGAGGCGCCTCAAAAACACTCCCTCCCCACCCTGCCCTCTCCCCTTCTCTCCTCGACGCCCTTCCCAGGTAGCATCAGAGCGTGCCATGCTCGCCAATGCCGAGGCCATCCATGCCAAGCAACCTCCCGTCCACCTGAAAACCCTCCCATCCCTGTGCGCAACATCTCCTGTGCACCGTCCCTTCCTGTCCCTTCCCCCCTCTCCACCTCCCCCGCCCTTCCCAGGTAGCATCAGAGCGTGCCATGCTCGCCAATGCCGAGGCCATCCAAGCTGCCTTATTTATGAGGCGCCTCAAAAGTCTCCCCACCCACTCCCCCCTCCCTGCCCTCCCCCCTCCCCTCATCCCTTCCCAGGTGGCATCAGAGCGGGCCATGCTCGCCAATGCCGAGGCCATCCATGCTGCCTTCCGCTCCCGCCGCTACACCGGCCCGGTCCGACAAAACCCTCCCATTACCACCACCGCAGCAGCAGCACCCTCTGCCATGCCATTCTCCTCCGCACCCGCCTTCCCCCCGCCCGCCTTCCCCGCGCCCTCCCCCGCCTTCTCCGCCTCTCCATCCGCCCCCGGCGCCCCTCTAGGTGCAGGGGGTATGCTGTTTGGGAAGGTAGTGTCAGCACAACCAGCGGCAGCAGCAGCTGCCATGTCTCCATCACCGTTCGGCGCTACCCCCGCCTCCGCCTTCCCCCCGCCCCAGCAACAACAACAACAGCCGTCGCCGTTTTCCTTTGGCAAATCCCCGTTCTCGAATGCCCCATCTCCTTTCTCCAACGCCGCATCTCCGTTTTCCAACGCCCCATCTCCTTTCTCACCGGCACCACCACAGCAGCAGCAGCACCAGCAGCTTGTTTTCGGACAACCCTCCTCCACCACCACCTCTCCCTTCCACACTGCTCCGTCACCCTCCCCATTCGCCCCAACCACATCGCCTTCCCCATTCTCCCCCTTTGGCGCTAGCAGCCCCTCTCCCCTCTCCACCTCCCCCCCCGGCTTCCCCCAGCCTGCTTCCGCCCTGCCCCTTGCTGCTGGTGGTGCTGCTGGTGTGGGGGGTGGTGAGGGTGGGGGCGGGACCCTGTGGGCTGCAACCAGATGGAAGCTTGGAGAGGTACGTGCAAGCGGAGTTGTTGATTTCACAGATGATAAGTGGCATACTCAAGTTGTGATAATCGCAATGGCCCCTTGTGCATCGCTCCTGTCCCCCCTCTCGTGCCATGTCAATGCCATCTCCGTTGCTATCTACGAATCGCTAACCCCACCTCTCCCCATTGCATCCCCTTCTCCCCTTCCCCCCCAACCCCCCTGCTTTTCTCCACCCGATACCCCCCCCCCCCCCCCCCCCCCCCACACGCAATGGTGCAGATACCAGAAGACAAGCCGCCTCCTGCCGTGCGTGTATGACCCACACCAACCCACACTGACCCACACTCGAGGTGACTTTTGAGTCGACTCAAAACCCAACCTCCCTGCTCTTTTCTCCACCCAATACCGCTTTTCCCCCACGCAATGATGCAGATACCGGAAGACGAGCCGCCTCCTGCTGTGTGTGTATGACCCACACCCAAGACGAGCCACGTCCGTCTGTTTGTGTGCACTATTACTCGACCCAGGAGAATAGCTGCTTATACTGGGTAGTTAAGTGAGGCAAAGAGGTGCCCAGCCCACATGTGCAGAGCTGGAAGGTGACAGTACTACCAGCAATCATTGGAATCACGATTCACATCCCTACCACTCATTAGAATCACCTTGCATGTACCATACGCTCAAGCGATGCAAATATGAGCTTTGCAGGTGTAATAGGTGCGGGTTAGCGAGAGCAGGTAGCACAAACGCAATGAACAATCTCATTGCTCTTTGTAACACCAACTCGGATCACAGTTACATACAACAATGCTGCTACATTGCAATTTTGTGTGTGTGCTAATTCTACACTACTAGTTGCTACACGCGTTTGCCCTCATTAATCCATGTTAAAAGATAGTATGATATTGTTTACGAGAGGACAGGGAAGAGGCGAGACACGTGGTCCAAGGGAATGGACTCTGTCAATCCCCGCGACGCTGCTTGCGCCTCAATGTTGCTCGGTAGCTCCACCACCTGCTCTCAGTGACACACATGCATTCATGCAGACACGCACACATGCATACAGACATTCAAGCACACATCCATGCATGCACACATGCATGCAGACATACAAGCACACATGCATGCATGGGGCAGCAAGGTCAGAACAGACGACGGGAAGCAGCAGCAGCAGCGGCTGGGGACGAAGAAGCTGGGGTGGGGTGGGGTGGGGAGGGGTGGGGTGGGCACAGCGCAGACTACAAAGTGCAGAGACTACAAAGCACCGCAGTGGGATCTTGATCTGACTAAAAACAGTCTAGAGTGCCGACCCCACCATCCCCTTTCATTTCCAACCTCTTCCCCCCCTCCCCTCGCCTCCAACCCCCCTCCTCCCCCCACCCCCCGGCCCCTAGTATTCACCCCACCCTCTCCCGTTTACCCCCACACACCTGGCCGGTCTTCCCTGGCGCCACCATCCAACCACTGGCCTCCACGTGGCGCTGAATAAAGTCGTCCAAGGCCGGCCCGTTCATGTTGATAGCCTGCATGGCATGGCATGGCATGGCATGGCATGGCATGGCATTGCACGGCATGGCATTGCACGGCATGACATTGCAGCGATGGCAGTTGGGGTAGGGTTGGGGAAGGGAATCCAGAATGGCATTGCACGGCATGGCATGGCATTGTAGCGATGGCAGGTAGGGTATGGCAGGGCAGGGCAGGGCAGGGCAGGGCAAGGCAGGGCAGGGCAGGGCAGGGCAGGGCAGGGCAGGGCAGGGCAGGGCAGGGCAGGGCAGGGCAGGGCAGGGCAGGGCAGGGCAGGGCAGGGCAGGGCAGGGCAGGGCAGGGCAGGGCAGGGCAGGGCAGGGCAGGGCAGGGCAGGGCAGGGCAGGGCAGGGCAGGGCAGGGCAGGGCAGGGCAGGGCAGGGCAGGGCAGGGCAGGGCAGGGCAGGGCAGGGCAGGGCAGGGCAGGGCAGGGCAGGGCAGGGCAGGGCAGGGCAGGGCAGGGCAGGGCAGGGCAGGGCAGGGCAGGGCAGGGCAGGCAGGGCAGGGCAGGGCAGGGCAGGGCAGGGCAGGGCAGGGCAGGGCAGGGCAGGGCAGGGCAGGGCAGGGCAGGGCAGGGCAGGGCAGGGCAGGGCAGGGCAGGGCAGGGCAGGGCAGGGCAGGGCAGGGCAGGGCAGGGCAGGGCAGGGCAGGGCAGGGCAGGGCAGGGCAGGGCAGGGCAGGGCAGGGCAGGGATTGGCGAGACATGGCACAGCAAGATATGTGATGGCATGAAATTGTTTCTGTAATAAAATTGGTGGGTTGTAAGAAAATAACCATGCTGCTGCATAGTCCATTGGATTGCATAGCATGGCATGGCACAGCACAGCAATGCTGCTATGATGGCACTGGGGGATTGAGAGCAATGGGCGATGCTGCGGCCACAACACAACCAACTGCACTTACAACACCCCATCCTCCTCCCACTACCCCACCCCACCTCACTCCACTCCACTCCACTCCACTCCACTCCACTCCACTCAAGACAACACCCCAAACCCATCACTCCAGCCAGCACTGCCGTTCCCCACCCTCCTGCACCACTCCCCACTCCCGTGCACCGCTCCGCACCTCAGCCAGTATCTCTCTGGGCACACGGCGGTGTGAGATGGCGAGCACATGAAGGGCATACGCCTGAATGGCTTCCGCGAAACCTGCAATGCACGGAGAGACGGGGGGGGGGGGGAGTGCGGGTGGGAAAGACGACTCTTGAGACGTGAGATAGGCGACGGTGGGAGGGGGTGATGGCGAGCACATGAAGGGCATACGCCTGAATGGCTTCCGCGAAACCTGCCATGCACGGAGAGACGGGGAGGTGGGGGGGGGGGGGGGGTGGGAAAGACGACTCCTGAGACGTGAGATAGGCGACGGTGGGAGGGCGAGATGGCGAGCACATGAAGGGCATACGCCTGAATTGCTTCCGTGAAACCTGCCATGCACGGAGAGACGGCAGCGGGAGGGATGGATGGATCCAGGTCAGGCATGCCAGATGAGCCCTCAAATGCTCGAGTGGCACAACCAACCAACTGAGCAATGTTGTGAATATACTTTTGAAGCGCCCTTACATGCTCGACAGGTGAGGCTGTGAGTAGGATAGAGGCGTGGGAAATGAAAAGGGTTGGCGCTTTTGGGGACAGGGAATGGGGATGTAAGAAGAACAAGAGGTACATGAAAAAACCAGGAGTGATGCGAGCAGCAAGGATGAGGCGAGAGAGAACAGGTGTATCCGGGCAGGTAGGGAAGGTTGATTTTGAGAATTCTCAAAATCAACCTCAAACAAAATCGAGAGAGAACAGGTGTATCCGGGAAGGTAGGGAAGGTTGATTTTGAGAATTCTCAAAATCAACCTCAAACAAAATCGAGAGAGAACAGGTGTATCCGGGAAGGTAGGGAAGGTTGATTTTGAGAATTCTCAAAATCAACCTCAAACAAAATCGAGAGAGAACAGGTGTATCCGGGAAGGTAGGGAAGTTCAAGCAAGGCCAACTGTCTCGTTCGTGGTGGAGCCTCCCGACAAGCACTCACAGGCAGGGCAGCCTGCACCTGCACCTGCATCCATCCATCCACTCAACCACAACCACATTGCATCGCTCTAATCAAATCCCCAATCCAAAACCCTGCATGCATAGCCCTGGTATCTTCGGTGCGTGATACCACTACCATCACCACCACCACCCCCAACCGCACCCCACTCACCAGGCACTGCCCCCAGCAGATCCCGTTGCTGCTCCACCTCTGACCAGAACTCGCGGAACCGGGCCGTCTGGCGGCGGGCGGCAGGGGGAGACGGCAGGAGGGAGGGGGGAGGGGGGACGCAAGCGAGTGGTAGGGTGATATGGGGAGAATGTTGAAAGAAAGGAAAATCAAAAGGATACGGCGAGTCGGAAGAAAGGGAGCGGAGGGAGGGAAGTGAGGAGTGGGAGCGACGTGAGAAGGGTGCAAACAGCCAGAACATGTGAAGCATGGGGCATCATCACTTGCTTGAAAAGCGAAGGTGGCAAAACAACCAGCAGGAAAGGCCCGGGGAAAAGGGAGCGAGGAGGTGGGGGGGGAGGAAGGGGAAGGGAAGGGGGGAAGAGGGGGGAGGGGAGGAAGCAGGGAAAGCAAGGGACACTGGACTTGACACGACCGGCAACAAGGAGGCAGAGAGGACAAATCACAAAGCAGAAAGCACACAGAACACATCGCACTGCGCACCTCAAGGAATTGCGAGAGAGCAATGAGGGTGGAAAGAGGCTCCTCGATTTGCTGCTCAGGACCGCACAGAGAGGAAGGGCGGTGAAGGGGAGTGGTTGTTGTGAGCGCAGACGCAGAGCAGGGTTAGGAGTGAAAGCAAGGGAATGCATAAAATAGCATGGCATGGGAAGACACAACATGGCATGGCACGGTCGCATGGCATGGCATGACATGGCATGGGCCAAGAAGGCGCTGACCAGTCATTCAGAAAGAGTTTTAGGGCGTCTCAAAACCTGGCACAACATGAATGGCATGGCATGGCACGGCATGGCAGGGCAGTGGGCAAGGAGACACTGACATATCTCTCGGGAATGAGGCAGAGGCACAGAGTGACGTCCGTGCGAGGCAGAGCCATCATAGCCTGGTGACAATGGCACGGCCAGGGGAGGGGGAAGAGGGAAGAGAGGGGACATGAGGCTTTACAAAGCTGGTCGGATGCGTCAAACGGTGAAACTGAACGCGGGTTCAAGCTAGCACACAGCACGCGGAGCAGGCGGGCAGCAGTGCAGTTTTGAGACGACGCGCCTTTGAGAGCGTGTGAGAAGGCAGCAAGCAGCGCAGAAAGGCAGCAGGCAGGCAGGGCAAGGGGGGGCCAGTAAGGCGTGGGTGCAGCACGGCGTGCGTGCAGCAAGGCGTGGGTGCAGCAAGGCGTGCGTGCAGCAAGGCGTGCGTGCAGCAAGGCGTGCGTGCAGCAGAGGCGTGACGTACCTTGATGAGGACCCCGCTGATCTTGCGCACGTTCACTCGCGCGGGCTCAAACTGCTCTCAGTCACGCACACACATACACGCACGCAGGCACGCAGGCACGCACGCAGGCACGCAGGCACGCACGCATGCACGCACGCACGCAGGCAGAGAGGGTGAAAGAGATGAGAGGAAAGTGGTTTGGAAGGTCCATGATGGGAAGAGATGGGGGTGGACGAGGAGCAGGGAAAGGCAGAAGGAGAGCAGCAGAGGAGAAGGGGAGGGAGGAGCGGGTGGGGTTACCATGTAGAGGCGCAGCAGTGTGAGGTTGGCATCCAAGTCGTACGTCCCATTGGCGATCTGCGGTGAGGTCACAAGCCATCACACAGCAAATTGAATTAATGCACACACGGCAAAGAAAGGAGCCAGAATTGAGCCCCCCAGTCAGCCGGGAAAAGGAGCGATGTGGGGAAGGATGGAACAGACGTGCGGGGACAGAACAGATAGGCCCTCTCATACATCTTCTCACGTCGCTTCAACGCCCCCCCAAACGGACGTGCGGCGAAGGCAAGACTAGTCCGCTCATGAGTCGTCTCAAGCGTAGCAGAAGGAGGTGCGCGGAGAAGAGCGCGGGGAGGTGAGCGGGGAGGGAGCAGGGAAGGATGCCGTGGCCGCAGGCTTCGCCGAAGAGTCTCACGCGTCGTCTCACGCGTCGTCTCATGTGTCGTCTCACGAGTCGTCTCACGCGTCGTCTCACGTGTCGTCTCACGCGTCGTCTCACGCGTCGTCTCACGCGTCGTCTCATGTGTCGTCTCACGCGTCGTCTCATGCATCGTCTCACGTGTCGTCTCACGTGTCGTCTCATGCGGGGAGGTGCGTGTGACGCGAGCAGGGAACTGCAAGCAAGCTGTAGCTACAACGCAAGCGGGTGACGAGCTGTGCTACCGTACTGCCGTCCTGCCAACCTGCCGCCCTGCCTCCCTGCCGGTCTGCCGTCTTGCTGCACTGAGGTTTACCGTGATGCCCAAAGCGCTTCAACACCGCAATTGTTGCCCTACGTTATCTCGCTCTGTCGCTATGTTGATCTGTCACTTTGTAACGCTCTGCTCCGTGCCTTTCAATTCCCTACCAGCTCTCGCTTTCTGCTTCGCCTCTCCCGCCACTGCATTTCAACCGCTACGGCTGTCGTCCCCACCTTAAAATGCTTCCTACATACCTCCCTTCCCTACCTTTAAAGACGTCGAAAGAATCGCCTACCTTCATTTCTCAAATATTTGAGCCCTTCCACTTTCTAAACTGCTAAAGTTCCCACTGCAATCTTCCCCACGTCTTTACCACCGTATCCAGCACCGCGAGTTTCTCGCCAGCCGCTCATAACTGGTACTTTCGATCGTCTCACGGATCAGCATGCTTCCTGCAGCGAGCCCATATGTTCGCGGAACAATAGCTTGCTGCGCACGCCGATCGCTCGTGCTAGCGATCGGACCAGATGGTTCGTGACTGATTCGTGAATGGTTAACCAGCAGCTCGACCTAGACCCTACGAGATGGTAACTAGTGAACATATACATCGTCCAGACTGGGCGATTCTGGCCGTCGCGCCACGTCGGATCGCTATTTCAGCAAACACGCGTCGAATCCCCGCGCGACTAGTAAAACCCTATTTCTTCGGCATCGCCGAAGAGCGCGGACAATCTTCGAGACCCACCTGATCGTCCACGTGCTTTTCAAGATCCGGGAGGATTTCAGGGTTGTACGGATTGGCCGCCAGAAGCTGTGCGATCGGCATCGCGCTGGTTGACGCCATGTTGTGGTGGGTAAAGTCAGTCACGGTGGTGTTCAAGAGAAAAGTCTAGGAGGAGCTGGAAGAAAGGTAAGGTTTGGGAGGAGAAAAAGGGAGGGAAAAAGGAGCCAGGAAAGGCGGTGGGATGGGGATGTGCGGTTGTACCGGTTCCTTGCGATGTGCTGGATTTGTTTCGCAAAATATAGACTGGTAACACGTGGTAACCTATCCGTTCACTGATATTTCACTGCGTTGAGGTTCGACCGTTCGAGAAATGGGAGCCTGTTTCTGGCTTCCAGGGTTCAAAATTCACCTCGAACGATGATCCCAGCGCCGTCGATTTCACAGGAGGCGTGTCGAGCGTTCGTAAGTCGGACACATGCTGACGTGAAACTTAGTAAAGAGTTTCAGTTCGAAGCACGCCCATGAAACCTCTATGAGTGACGCAGCTTGAAATTGATGACATCTTGTGCCGAACCCAAAGTCAAGTCGGAGAGTAGCCCTCGAGACGAGAGGGCCTCGTTCAGAGGCAGGTGTGAAGAGCTGCAAACCCACCTCCACCACCGGTCACCCGAGGTCGTGAGGGAGGATTCCAGTAAGTGCCCGAAAACGGTTTGCACCCTCCTAGCTGTAAAAGATTTCTCTCAAACTTCGGTAAGCCTCACCCTTATGCCAGCCATTCTTCACAAGATGATTACCCCGGAAATTCATGCTCTATCCCGTGGGTAAAGGGTGAACCTTCCTGACTTGCAAAAAGCCTTCCCCTTTCTTCTGCCTAGTTGTTTGTTCCTTCTCCCAGTTCTGCCAAAGTCCCACCAAACCAAGGACAATCACGGGGAAATCCAATGGTCGGTCATTCACTTGACACCTAAATGACAGCGACAAGCTCATCAGTCATTCCTGCTCACTACCATGCCGTCCTGTTCAGCCTGATCACCACAACTTAGGTGCTGCAGAAGCTCCGCTCGATTCTGCCGGTGACGTAGTCGGGTTCGTCAACCTCTCGTCGTCCGCGTCCCGCTATTAACACGGAGCTTTAGCCGCGTCGTCGCAGCAGGATCGAGGAACATAATGATTCCTCATTTCGGCATTGCGGAGAAGTGCCTGCTCGTGACAATTGCTATTTTCCTCTCTTCTCGCGGGGCTCACGCATTCTACACCCAACCCCAGATCGAGCCCCAGTTGGGTACCGAACGAGTCGTCTTTCAGGTCCGTTACCGTTACCGTTACCGTTCTCCGTTATTCGGCACGGCTGCCGCATTGTGCCGTCACATGGAAGCATCCTCGTGATTGTTAGCTCGCTTGCGTATCGCGCATACCTTTCCGGAGCCATTCCTCCAGATCTCCTGCCTGTCTTGCTCGCGGCACGTCTATTCTCCTCGTGGCTCCGCTTTCCCGCTTTTCCATAGAGCTTGGCACTTTCGAGGATGTTTCCGTCCAGCGCACTCCGCGTCCCTACAGTAATTCGCATTCGCATCATCACTGATGGCGAATGTTTTCGATCGACCAGGGGGAATCTGCGGTCCTCCTGACACCGCAAGTTTGCGGTCTCACGCGAAAATCTGCCACAGGTCGTCCCCCTCCATTTCCCGTCCGTCGATACTCGCGTCGGCATCCCTCCTAGTCTCCTATCTCAACGCATCCCTCCCATCTCTCTCTCGCCCCGTTTCTCCACGTCTGTCCCCCTGTCCGTTCGTTCTTTCTTTCTATCTTTCTTTGACCTGTTCGCCGCTTGCACGCGGGGATGCCCTCCTCCAATCGCCACTCGACACGTCAGACGGACTTCGGCGACATCGAGTTTGGATTCTACCCGCAAGTGGCGCCGCGCACTGTAGCACACATCTCTCGTCTCGCGCATCTTGGCTGCTATGCCACAAACCACTTCTTCCGGGTACACTCATTGCATTTTCTCTGATGCTATACTTACTGGCATTATTCTTCCCGCTCCTGTTATTGTACTTACACCAGGTGCAGTAGTTATCGAGAGTGCACGGTACAGTACTCTCCCCGTCTAATCCCCCTCCTCCCCCCCTCCCGAGCCCGCCCTTCCCCCGCCTTTCCCCGCGCGCGCAGGTGGACAAGGGCTTCGTGGCGCAGGTAGCTGACGTGGTGGGCGGGCGGCAGGTCCCCCTGAGCGCGCAGCAGCGGTGGGAGGCGGAGCAGACAGTCCCGGGGGAGTTTTCCGCGCTGCCCCACAGGCGGGGAACGCTCTCCATGGCGCGGTGAGGAGGAGCGGAGGCCGTGGGGGGGAAGGGGAAAGAGATAGGGGAAACGAATTGCATGGCGCCGCCGTCCCACATGCGCACGTGCCCGGACGAATCGCCTGTCACTAGTGTGCCACAGCCGTCGCTGGTCGGGGGAGAGAGGGGGGAAGGGAGCGGAGAGGGAGGGGGGTTGGGAAGAAGGGGGTGGGGGAGATGAGTGAGAGGAAGGTGGGTGCGCCGGTGCTGAAGTGTCAGGATACAGGCAGACAGAGGCATGATGCTTTTGGTGCCTGCGGTTTGCACTCTGTGCGTCTGCTGCCTCTGCCAGTGGCCTCTCCTCCTCCTCCTCCTCCTCCTCCTCCTCCTCCTCCTCCTCCTCCTCCTCCTCCTCCTCCTCCTCCTCCTCCTCCTCCTCCTCCTCCTCCTCCTCCTCCTCCTCCTTCGTGCCAATTTTTTAGAATTCTCACGAAAAAAACCCTCAGTCGTTGTACCACGTCCTTGCGTTTCTCCCTTGCGTGTCTCCGGTGCCTGATTTCAATGCATCCCTCCCTATCCATGATCAGGTACGATGACCCCAACAGCGGCACCTCCTCCTTCTCCATGCTGCTTGGGGATGCCCCGCATCTAGACGGCAAGGTGGGTGGCTGATGCCATGCTCTCCCATGCTCTCTCATGCATTTTCATGCTCTCCCATGCTCTTCCATGCTCTCCCATGCTCTCCCATGCTCCTCTGCTCCTCTGGTACCTGCTCTCCTGCGCCCTCATCCTCTCTCCCCCATCCACCCCCTGCCCTCCCATCTCCCCCATGCCTCTGGTGCACAGTACGCGGTGTTTGGGCGGGTAACGGCAGGGGATGAGGTACTGGCGCGCATGGAGGCGACTTTTGAGACGTCTCAAAAGTGCTCCCCTGCTCTCTCATCATCCCTCCCCCATCTACCCCCACACCCCCCCCCCCCCTTCTCCCTCCCCTCGCCCTCCCATCTCCCCCATGCATGTGCCTTGCAGTATGCCGTGTTTGGGCGGGTAACGGCAGGGGATGAGGTGCTGGCGCGCATGGAGGCGCTACCCACGCGGACAGAGGGCATCTTTGTCATGGTCCGTGCGTGCAGGGGGGGGAAGGGAAGGAGGGGGGGTTAGGGGAGGGGGAGGGGGAAGGGGAGGCGGAAGGGGAAGGGGAAGGGGCGGGAGTGACAGGGTGTTGAGACGTCTCACGTGCTGGCGCGCATGGAGGCGCTACCCACGCGGACAGAGGGCATCTTTGTCATGGTCCGTCAGCGCATGCAGCACACAGGGGGGAGGAGGGGGGGGGGATAGCGGGTGGGGGGTCGAGGGGGAAGGACGTGAGTGACGGATTTTTTAGGGCATCTTGGTCATGGTCAGTCAGCGCAGCGCACAGGGGGGGAGGAGGCGGGGAAGGGAAGGGAAGGAATCTAGTCTCCAGCCTCCAGGCGTCTTAAATAAAGAAACAATAGATTCAACAGGACAGACAGACAGACAGAGGGCACCTCTATCATGGTCAGCAGTGCAGAGGGGGGCAGGAGAGTGGGAGAGGAGAGGGCAAGGCGGGGAGGGCCCGGGGAAACGGGGAATCTGTTTGAGGCGCGCCAAATAAAGAATCAAAATTCCCACCCAAAGGGCACCTTTTCATGGTCAGCACACAGGGGGGGGAAGGAGGAGGAGGCGAGGGGAGGGGAAGGGGTCTAATTTCTGAGAGACAGTTCCCCCACCAAGACAGAGGGTGTCTTTGTCTTGGTCAGCAGCGGAGAGGGGGGAGGGGGAAGGGGGGTGGCAGGGGCGGGATTAAGGGGATGAGGGATGGCCAAGTGGGATGGGGGCTAGATGCCAGTTAGCCGATGGGAGTCATTTTCTGTGTGGGTGGGTGGGTGGGTGGGTGGGTGGGCTGGTAGGTCTGTAGGGTCTCTACATCAGCACCGTTTGGGAGTTTTCTTATGGAGGTGTACTGAAGTGATGTGTGCGAAGGGATATTCGAGCTGAAGTGAGAGAGAGTGCACGGTTGCTCTCGCCACTTGCACATGGAGAGAGAGAGATAGCGACTCTGGCTGGCCAGCTAGTCTCGAAGATTCTCAGAAGTGATTTGCTTGAATTGGCCAATCTTTACGCAGATAGTGGGGAGTTTTTGAGTTGGTTTGGCCAGCTGTGGGGGGGGGGGGGGGGGGGGCGGGCTGATTGCATAAGCATATAGAGTTTTACCGGTTGCTCGTTTCTTCCTCAAGATTTTTAACATGTTCCCCTCCCCTTTCTTCCTCCTTTCCTCTTTGGCCTTTTTTTCATGGTGTGTGTGGTGTGTGTGTTTGTCTTTTGTGCCTTTGTGTGTGTGTGTGTGTGTGTGTGTGTGTGTGTGTGTGTGAGTTCGCCTGCACATTTGTCATGCAACATATGCCTCGTGTCTGCACATGGGTGCATGCATTTGCTTCATGTCTGCATGTGTGTGTGCATGCAACGCCTCATGTGTGTGGGTGCGTTGCACTTTTCCACAGCCATTGAATCGTATATCCATTCTAGCAACCTATGTGTATGGTGAGTGGTCGGTCCATCCATCCATCCATCCATCCATCCATCCATCCATCCATCCATCCATCCATCCATCCATCCATCCATCCATCCATCCATCCATCCATCCATCCATCCATCCATCCATCCATCCATCCATCCATCCATCCATCCATCCATCCATCCATCCATCCATCCATCCATCCATCCATCCATCCATCCATCCATCCATCCATCCATCCATCCATCCATCCATCCATCCATCCATCCATCCATCCATCCATCCATCCATCCATCCATCCATCCATCCATCCATCCATCCATCCCGCGTCCGTCCGTCCGTCCGTCCGTCCGTCCGTCCGTCCGTCCGTCCGTCCGTCCACCCACCCACCCACCCACCCACCCACCCACCCACCCACCCACCCACCCACCCACCCACCCACCCACCCACCCACCCACCCACCCACCCACCCACCCACCCACCCACCCACCCACCCACCCACCCACCCACCCACCCACCCACCCACCCACCCACCCATCCATCCATCCACCCACCCACCCACTCACCCATCCACAACCGATGCTCACGCTTGAGGGTCTCATCTCATGTGCACATGCCTATGCTTCATGTATGCATGTGTCAACCAGCCGGTCCGCTGGGTGACAAGAAAGAAAAGAAAGAGCAGAAAAGGAGAAGAAAAGGAAGAAGAAAGTGACATGTGTATCGATACATCTGGGTGTGGCGATACTGTGTGTGCAGATCTGCCGGGGGCTGTACCGGACCCCATCTGCCACGAGGATAGTTTTGAGTCGACTCAAAACCATGTGTATTGATATGGGCGGGTGTGGCGGTGTGTGCAGATCTGCCGGGGGCTGTACCGGACCCCATCTGCCACGAGGACCGCGAGCTGCTCAGGCGGAAGCTCGTGCAGATGGATGATGAGCTGCAACGCACGGTAATTACATCTTTGGGGCTGGTAAGAGGGTTAGGTAGAGCTAAGCACACATTGTGAGTGTATCTTGGAAGCTCGTGCAGATGGATGATGAGCTGCAACGCACTGTGAGTACATCTCTGAGGGTTGTGAAGAGAGGTTTAGGACGAGCTAAACACGCATCGTGAGTGTATTCTAGAGGGGCTGTTAAAGTCAAATGATGAGCTGCAACGCACTGTGATTCGCTGGAGCCATGCGTGTTCTGCTTGTGGGTGCATCATTGGTGCGATGTGATGGATTGTGGTTTGCAGTATGATGCATTGTGGGTTCAGATTGATTATACGGTGCTCGCAGTTTAGTGATTGTGGTGTGGAATCATTGTGATTGCATGATATATGCGTCTCTCTCACTCTCCGCTTGCCTCTCCTCTCTCTGCTTGCATCTCTTTCTCTCAATCCTATCTCCATCTCCTTCTCAACCTTTCTCTCACCACTCTCATACGATTAGCTCACCTTCCTTTAACCTTTCTCTTCCCCTATATTGGCACCCCGTTACATACTTCTCGTGGTAATTGTCAGAGAATCAAGTGCCTGCCATAAGTGTCCGTATCATATTGGCGTGGTGGCTGCTACAATGGGACATCAGAGCAGCACTGGTAGTGATACCCTGCTTGTTAGCTTTGGATGGAACTATGCTTGTGCATCAGTCTCTGACCAAAAGAGAACATTGTATAGTGTAGAGATTCAAGTGCTGTTATAGCCTCTCAGCCTCATTTTATGTTGATTTGCAAGAAAAGAACTAACTCTAGGGGAAGAAAATGCATCAATAAATTGGCGGGCACTAGGTTAGTGAGTTTTGATGTAACTGCCTAGACATCAAAGAACAGGGTGTAGTGATGTAACTTTACTGTGCGTAACAGCTGTCAACACCGTGACAGAACGTGGTTCCTTCCAAGCGCTTCACGACAAGCAAATTGGTTGGACATCCACAATCGTAAGGCAAGTGTCACTGTACTGGTCACGGAGTCGCAGGAAGAGACTGTAGGGTGGGGGGAGGGGCGCAGGCGCAGCGCACAGTACGAGTACAGTAATCAAAAGGTGTGTCCGACATGTGTACAACTAGGCTGATCAATTTGGCATGACCCACTTCCCTACTTACCCCAACCCTCCAGACGAGAGACGCGGTAATATTGTACTGTAGTGTTTTGTGTCTTTTGTAAGGAACGATTCCATTCCATCCTCCCCACACGCGAATTTCGCAAAATTGGATGTACTGTTCGCCATGTGGCGTCGCCTGCCGCGTGGAGAGCAATTGGTTACCAGCTGTCAGAACAGTTCCAAGTTTCGTTCGACACGCGGATCTGCGATGTTCCCAATTCAACCCCGAGTGTTGGGATGGGACGTAACCTGACGTGACGGAACGGGACGTGACGTGACGTGAATCACGTGACTGACTGACGGACTGACGGTCAGGCCTCACTCTTTCCCCCATCCCGTGAGTTATCCAAATCAGCTTTCAGGTTGTCCTCTCCTGCAGAAGAATCAGCTGCACAGTCGAGCACAGATGTCAAGGAGATGACAGGAGACGAGAGGAGGGGAGAAGAGAAGAGAGCTGACAGATACGTACATGTCGAGTTCCTTGAGCCAGTAGCTCAGCCGCGGAGAGTCAAGGACCAGAATGCCTCCGTGGCCGCCTTAGGAACAGCGCTGCCGTTGCGACGAAAGGCTCGAGGCGAGGCTTCTCGCGAGCTTAGCCCTTGTCCCGTCTCTCCTCTCCGTGCCACAATGGCCAACAGCCGTTGCACTTGCGTCTCGCATTCCTTATTCTAAGAGATGCGTGGAAGCAAGGGGATGACAGTGAGGAGCCAATTAGGGTTTCCTCCCACCGGGCTGGACTCCCATGATGCGCACGTAATTCTCGACACTCGCTGATTCCCTCTCTCCCATTCTCGCTTACCGTCGTCCTACAATGATGTTATTTAAGTAATGGTGTTGTTCTCTCCTACAACACTCCAAGTATCGCCTAAACAACTCGTACTCACGTCAATTTTTGAGAAAATAATATAAACAACTCCGTGAAATATAGCTCCAGCACACCACCTTGGTTCGTTTCATACTCGTTATAAGAATAATCATCAGCCTGCCGTTCTACAGCACGCCGCAATGGGGCGGCAGCAGCGGCTTCGTCCCCGCGTGCAGCGGGTATCATCCCTCGCAGGCCTCGTCGACGGAATGGTTCGCATTATCGACGAGACCCGTCGCGTCGCCCCGCGCGTACCGGTCGACCGTTCCAATTTCATCACCATGGCTTTTTACCTCAACGACTTGCGCGACGCGCTCTCGCACGCCAGCCTGCGCGGAATCAGCGTCGGGTGGAGGTCGTTAAGTGGCAGCGCGGGGGGGAACAGCGGCGGAAGCGGGGGGAGCGCAGGCAGCGGCGGAAGCAGCGGCAGCAGCAGTGGGGGGAACTCGGGCGGGGCGGGGGGGGCAGCGCCGGAGAACAAGCAAGAGCAGCTGGCAGGTGATGCGGAGGTGCATGTGCGCAGTCGGAAAGGCGCGCGGAGAAGCCGCTTTGCGCTCCCCGCGTCCATGTTCGCGCGGAGCAAGGGGAAAAGGGCAGGGAGTATAGGCGAGGAGAGCGAGGTCGTGGCGCCGTCACCGGAATGGCGGCGCGACTTGTCCACGGGTTCCGATTCAGTCACATCGTCGGATGTCGGGCCGGCGATATCCGGACCGTCCGATGGTGGCGAGGCGGAAGTTACCAGCGCCGCCCCCCCCGTCACCCCGTCCGCCTCCGCCGCCGCTGCCACCGACTGCGGTGGCGGCGGCGCAGACAGGGATAGCGCCGCCAGCGCCGCGTCGGCCGCCGCAGGCGACGGCGCGACCGGCGCTAGCGGCGGTCGGCAGCAGCCGCTTCTCCCCGCGGATGCGCGCGCGGCGCTGGAGGAGCTACAGACGACGGTCATGGCGCTGCGCGACGCCACGCGCGAGGCGTGCCGCGTTGCGCGGCTGCTGCTGCTACTAGACGCGGCCGCGCGCATGGCGGCGCTCCAGCGCATGGTGCGCGCGGTGGGGGACGCGCTGAGCCAGCCCGCGCTGCTGTCGCTCATGTCCTCCTGCCTCGCACCCGCGGACGCCGCCAAACTGTCGGAGCTGCGCGCGCGCATGCAGGCCGCGTCTTTCGAGGCGGAACCGGAGGTGGCGCAGCTGTGCGCGCTGCTGAAGCGCGCGGTGATGAGCACGGGGATCGTGGGCGGACTCGTCAGCACCAGGGGCGGCTCCGTTTCCGCCGCCGCCGCGCGCGCCTATAGCGACGGGCAGGAGGCTCTATCGAAGGTGATCATACACTTAGGATTAAGCGAGGTAGGCGGGGAAGGGGGCGGGGGAAAGGGAGCGGAGGGGGTTAGCGGGGGAGGAGGCATGGAGGGGGATATGGGAGATTCAGAGAAGAGAAAATCCTCCCAGGCTTACCCACACCACCAGCAACACCACCACCACCATCATCACCACCACCACCACCTTCACCAGCAGCAGGGGCAGCAGCAGCAGCAGGGGCAGGATCAAGAAGAGAGCGGGCCTGCGCGGTCCCCTCTAGCATTGCCTGTAGCGATTCTTCTCCAGGAGGTGCATTTAGACCTCGCTCTAGCCAAGGAGGTGGAGGAGAGGAACCGTGACGTGGAGAAGTTAAGGGCGCTAGAGTGCCTCTTAGCCATCGTGCAGACGCACGTGGGGGTTGTAGAGCTTCCCGCCTCGCACTCTCAACTCCCGGGAGCCGTTTCTGTTTCTGGTTCTGCTGCTTCGGCTGCTGCGTCGGGTGGTGCTGGTTCAGGCACTGAGCGCAGTGCGCTGGGTGGTGGGGGTAGTTTTAACAATAGAAGCCTGGCGGCGCTTCTAGGCAGCGGAACGAGGGGGGAAGCAGGCGGGAGAGAGGAGGGAGTAGGTAGAGGGGAAACAGGGGAGAATGCTGGGGCAGGAGGGGAGGAGGGAGGTAGGATAACGCGGTTCCCTCGTGGTTACAGCACAACGGAAACGGTATCTGCTGCAGGAGGAGAAACAGCACAAGCACTAGCAGCATCAGCATCAGCATCAGCACCAGCACCGGCGTCTGCTGCAGTTGTGCCTGCTGCTTCCTTTCCTCCCAGCTCTAGCTCCGGCTCTGCTGCTGCTGCTGCCTTTGCTTCTGCCGCAGACGCCCTATCCGGTGCTGCTGCAGGCGGACTCCCCTCCCCCTCTCCCTCGCTTCGGCCGTCTAGCTCTCTCACAGATCAACCACCTCCTTCGCCTGCTGCTGCTGCTGCTTCTGCCGCTGCAGCTGCCGCCGCCACTGCTGCTGCTACTTCTAGTGATGCTGCTGGCGCCATTGCTGCTGCAGCGGCAGAACCAGACGCTGCTGCCAGTCACGTAGCTACCAGCCATGAACCACCCACTCCCACTGCTGCCACTCCCACTGCCGCTCCTGCGTCCACATCAGCTGCTGCTGCGGCCGTTCGTGCTGGCCCAGGCATCATCAGAGAGCGAGGGAGAATGAGCAGCAGAGAGCGTTTCCTGGGAGCGAGTGTGAGGGAGGCTCGCCTGAGTGCGTCTAGCAGACTGGCATCGCCTCGCGAGCCGGGTGCAGATGCAGGTAGTGCCTGGGTTACCCCTGACGCTGTCGCTGTCGCTGCCCCTGCCACCGCTGCTACTGCTGCTGCTTCGGCAAGTGCTGCCAGTGTTAGTTTCAGCAGCAGCAGCGACAGTGCTAGTGGTGCTGCTGGCATGAGCGGCGGCGGTGGCGCCGGCGGTGGTGGTGGTAGCAGCAGTAGCGGCGGAATAGCAGTGTCAGCGCGAAGGGCAGCAGGGCAGCGCATGAGAAAGTGGGCGTCTATGAAAGCAGCGCACAGAGCGGCGAGTGGCAGCAATAAGTCTACGTCAGGCCATGAATCCGCTGGCCCTGGCGATCGCCATGTGGATACCCCCGAGGGGCCCGTGCTGCCTAAGCTTGCCTTGCAGGTGCAGCGCGAAATGGCTGGCGAAGTGAAGCCGGAGCTGTGCTGCGCGTTAACAGGGTTACCGCTGCAGCAGCCGGTGGTGTTGGTGGAGAGTGGGGTGGTGTTTGAGCGGGTGGCGATCGAGGCGTATATTGCGTGCGTGCGGGCGACTGGGGGGGGGAGAGAGGGGCTGAGTAGCAGGGGTGGGAGGGAGAAGGAGACGGGAGGGGGTGTGGGAGGAGAGGATGCAGGAATTTCCGCTGCTGTTGCTGCTGCCGGTGCTGGTGTTGGGGGTGCAGGTGGTGATGGGGATGTTGCAGCATCAGGCGCAGCAGGAGGAGGAGGTGGGGGTGGGGGGGGTGCGGAACGAAGGCTAGTGTCCGTGAGAAGTGGGGACTGGAGGAGGGGCATGGGGAGGAGCATGGGGAGGAGCATGGGGAGGAGCAGAAGCGTGACAACACCAGACAGCGCCAAAGCAGGGTCACGAGCAGCAAAAGGAGCAGCAGCGGCAGCAGCAGCAGTGGTGGCGGCAGCAGCGGCAGCGGTCGCAGGAGTGGGAGCGGGAGGGACGGGGGAAGCGGGGGTGGCTGGGGATAGCAGCGTTGGTGGAGCAGCGGCGGCTGTGGCGGCGGCGGCGGCGGCAGCGGCAGCAGCAGGGCCTGTGGCTCAGTGTCCTGTTTCTCACAAGCAGATTCAGCGGTGGGACTTGGCAGCGGCGCATTGGCTGAGAGCGGATATTCAGGCGCACCAGAAGAAAGTAGAGGGTGCTACGATCGACCGCGCTATTGAGGTTATGAGGAGACATGTTGACGCGACTGACGCCGCTGCTGCCGCTGCCGCTGCTGGTGAGACTGCTGCTGCTGCTTCTGCCAAGCCTGCTGGTGAGGCGGCTGCTGCTGCTGCTGCCAAGGCTGCTGGTGCGGCTGCTGCTGGTGCCGCTGCTGGTGCTCCCACTGCTGCTACTACCGCTGGTGCTGCTGTTGATGGTGCTGGTGCTGCAGCAGCTGCAGCAGCAGTAGAGGTGGATGGGGAGAGTGGGGCAGGCAGGGAAAAGGAGAAGGAGGAAGGGGCAGGTGCAGGTACAGAAGCAGCAGCAGGGGAGGCAGCAGCAGCGGCGGAGGGGGTCACCGCTGTGGAAGAAGCCAAACCGGACACAGTGGGATCAGGGGCCGGGGCAGATGCTGCTTCAGGTGCGAGTCAGCCCAGTGAAGTCATAAAGAGCAAGGGCGAGAGCAGGGACGAGAGCAAAAGCGAAAGCAGGGACGAGAGGAGGGACGAGAGCAAGGGTGAAAGCAGGGGCAGCAAGGAGGGGAAAGGAGGGGAGGAACGGGTGGAGGAGGCGGAAGAGGAAGGCAAAACCGGAGAGGTGGAGGCAGAGGGCGAGGAGGTTGCGGTAGCAGTGGAGGCTGTTGAAGTGCTGACGATGAGGGATGAGCAGCTGGGGCTTATGCTGGTGGAGGGAGGGGGGGTGCCGCTGCTGATTGCGCTGCTGGGCGCGGAGAAAAGGGTGCATGTGCGCGAGCACGTGCTGCTGTCACTGCGGAATCTGGCGTGCCTGGGTGGGGATATTCAGGTGAGAGCCGAGGAGATGTGCAGGTGAAAGCGTAGAGGTGAGAGCAGTGGGTTGCTCAGGTGAGGTGTTGTGCTTAATGTGCACTTGCACACGCATGCACTTGCATATGCCTTACACACACACATGCACGCACACATGCACACACACACACACACACACACACGCACACACACGCACACACACGCACACGCACACGCACACGCACACACACACGCACACGCACACGCACACGCACACGCACACGCACATGCACACGCACACGCTACACTACAGGGCGGTGGATTGATTTCGTTATTACCAGTCTCCTCTCCCCCTTCTCTTCTCCAACACCTTTTTCCTTTTCCGCTTTCCTCCTATCTCTCTCCCCCCTCCACTTTGTTTCTCTTCCCACGACCCTGCCTCCCTGACCGCTTCCTCCTCCTTCTCCCCAAACCCCCGCCCCTTCGCTTGCAAATGACCCAAACACACACAGAATGCCACCCGGTTGACTCACGTGCCAATGCCAAACTCACCGCACTGCACCGCACTTGTGCCTCGCCTCCCTCCCCTCCCATCAGGCTTTAGAAGTCCTTGAAACACAAACCCCTTGGCGCCCCGATCTGATCTGATCTGATCTGATCTAGGGCACGAGCAGCCTTTCTTTTGTGCCACGCCACCTCGGCACAAGCCCAATGACACTGCTTCCACTGCCCCACTCCCTCCCCCATGATTTCTATAAGATTGATACCTTCCTTTCTTGCTGTCCCATCTCCCACAACCAGCCCACCTGCTACAACAACCCGCTACCCACAACCCAGAAAACCAAGGACTTGTTGCTGATTTGAATCGAGCATGGCCTGTTTTGATTCAGCTCAAATGAGCACAACCCCCCAAGCTCCCCAAACCCACAATTCATCCCACTACCCACAACCACACCCTGCTTCCCTCAACCCACTACGCACAACCCCCAAGCCATTACCCACGTCCCATTACCCCAAACCACATCCCATGACTCCTATCCCCCATCAACCTCCAACCCCCACCCCAAACCCCCTCATCCCCCCAGGACATGTTGATAGAGCACGGGGTGCTGCCCCCCCTGGTGGCAGTGCTGGCGGAGAATGCAGCGGACGCCATGGCGGGCGTGCAGGTGCTGCACGAGCTCGCCACGGGGGAGAGGCACCGCCACGCCATCTCCGCCGCCCAGGGCGACCTCGAGCTCATCCGCCTGCGGTCCCGGCACAAGGAGGCGGGCGACCAGGTGCATACACGGGCAGGGATAAGTGGGTGGGTGGGTTGGTGCGTTGGTGGGAAGGTGCTTGCATGGTTGTGCAGCGGAAAGCGCCACTGGTGGGTATTTGTTGCTCCAAGGGCGACCTGGAGCTCATCCGCCTGCAGTCCAGGCACGAGGAGGCGGGCGACCAGGTGCGTGGGGTGGGGATGGATGGGTGTAGATGGGTGGGTGGGTGTCTGGTTGGGCAGGGGAATGCGCTACTGGAGGGTGATTGCTGCTGCAAAGGGCGACCTGGAGCTCGTTCACCTGCGCTCCCGGCACAAGGATCCTTGGGCAGGTGACCAGGTGCGGTGGTGGGTGGGTTGTTGGTTGGGTGCATGGGTGGGTGGAAGATGGCATGTGATGCATGGTTGGGCAGGGGAAAGGGCCACTAGCGGGGGTTTTCTTTGGCTAAGGGCGACCGAAGCTCTCTCACTCAGGCACAAGGAGCTCTGGTGACCAGGTGCGTGCTGGGGGTGGCTGGGTGGATGGATGGATGGGCGGGTGGGTGGTGGGTGCATGAGTGGGCAGCGGAAGGGCCACGGGTGGGTTATTATTGCAACCTGAAGGTTAGGTGGGCGACCTGGAGCTCAATCGCCTGCGCTCCCGCCACAAGGAGTCCAGCGACCAGGTGGCTGGGTGGATGGATGGGTGGGTGGGGACGGGTGGGTCAGTGGGTGGGTAGGTATGAGTGGGTGGGTGCATGCATGGGTGGAGGAGGAGGACGGCAGGTGGTGCATGGTCGACGCGTCTCACGCATCTCTCTGTGTGATGGAGGCACATGAGCAGGCCAGTGACCAGCTGGGTGCTTTTGACGCATCTCAAGAACACAAACGGGCATCGGGGGGTGAATAAAACTGCTGATCGACTCCCACAGCGTAACTGCCCTGGCCGTCCCCTTCATGTCTCCTCCTCCTACCCTCTCCCTCCCACCCTCCCCATTCCACGATCCTTCCCAACTCCCCTCCCCCACACGCCCCCCCCTTCCCCCCCCCTCCCTCCCACGCCCCGTGCCAGGCAGCAGTGCTACTGGGCACGGTGCTGCGGCTGTTCTCTCTGTCCCCTTCATCTCTCCTCCACATTTTCTCACACCACCCCCCCCTCGCCCCCGTAACTCCCTGTGCCAGGTGGCGGAGCTGTTAGACACAGTGCTGCGGCTGTTCTGGGAGGGCGATCCATCACGTTTTTCACCTTCTCTCTCTCTCTCTCACCTCCCACCCCTCCTACTCCTCCCACCAGGTGGCGGAGCTGTTGGACACAGTGCTGCGGCTGTTCTGGGAGGGCGATCCGTCAGTGGCGGTGCACATGGCAGCAGCAGGCCTCATGGACCCACTCGTCACGCTCATTGCGCCCGGTATGCCCGCTTTGACCCCGTGCGTATGTGTGTGGCCTGTGTGTTTGTGTGTGTTGTTGTGGTGTGGGGATTGGGTAAGTGGGGGGGAGGGCAGATGCGGCGTGTGGCCATGGCGATGGGGGGATTCGCTGGGTATGCCGGCTGTGTGTGATCTTCGGGAGGTCATGGCAGTGTGTGTATCGGGGGATAGAGAAGGGCGGCCATGACAATGCTGTATGTGTCGGGATAGTGTGCACGGGGAAAGAAGGAAGAGGGGAAGATAATTGGGGAGTGTGTGCGTGTCTGTGTCGGTGTGTTTGTGCGTGCGCGTGCGTGCGTATGTGTGGTAATGCCACTTGTTGCACCAGGTGTGCGTATCTGTTTGTCTGCGTGCATGCGCGTGTGTGTGTGGCCATGTGTTGGTTGGACACGCTCCGGAACTTGTGTATCCGGTGTTCCTTCTGTTCACCAACCGAACCAGCAGCAGCCCCATGATCAGCCAGCACGTGTCCCTCTATCTGCACTGCACTGCACTGCACTGCAACCCATGGCACATGCATAGTCGACTCAAGATTCAACCCCCCCCTTGCATACTGCTTACTTTAACACCACACCAGCACATCACAGGGAGTTGTTAATCCTCCTCCTAGGGAATCACAGGGTGCCTCATCCTCAACACTTCTGCTCCCATGCCCCGCCCCGCCCCGCCCCGCCCCGCCCCGCCCCGCCCCGCCCCGCCCCGCCCCGCCCCGCCCCGCCCCGCCCTCCCCTCCCCTCCCCTCCCCTCTCCTCCCCTCCCCTCTCCTCCCCTCCCCTCCTTTCCCTTTCCCTTTCGCCTACCTCCTTTCCCCTCTCCCCGCCATTTCCCCCCACACGTCCCCAGGCAACGACATGGACACAGTTCTCTTGATGGCTGATGCAGTCATGTCGTGCGGCATCACCAAGGTCTCCCGTTCCCACCTCCCTCCTGATACTCCTCCCCTCCCCCCCCCATCCCTCCCAGGCAACGACATGGACACAGTTCTGTTGGTGGCAGATGCAGTCATGTCATGCAACATCACCAAGCCGTGCGTTTTCCCCTCCGCTCACCCCTCTGTCCCGTTCCCTCCCATGCACATCAGGCAACGACATGGACACGGTGCTCTTGATGGCCGATGCAGTCATGTCCTGCAGCATCACCAAGGTCTCCCGTTCCCACTCTCCCCCCCCCGCCATCCCTCCCATGCACATCAGGCAACGACATGGACACGGTTCTGCTCATGGCCGATGCAGTCATGTCATGCGGCATCACCAAGGTCTCCCGCATTGCGCTCGTGCAAGCAGGCGTCCTCCCACCCCTTATCCACATGCTCTCGCACGCGCCCCCCAACGCACGCACCATGGCCGCCCGAGCCATAGAGCACCTCTCCCACACCGAGGCTAACCGCGTGGCCCTCGCCAAGGCTGGGGTCATCCCGGCCCTCGTCCGCTGCCTCGGCCGAACCATGCCGGGGGAGCTGCGAGGCGCGGCCCAAGCCACCCTCGCAAACCTAGCCATGGACGACCAGGATTTAGAGACACTAGATGAGGAGGGGACAGTTGTGCGGCTGCTTACTATGCTCCGTGTCGGCCCCGCGACGAGCCGAGAATACGCGGTGAAGACTCTTGAGTTTGTGACCCGGGACGAGGAGAATCGGCACATGAGAACAACTGTGTTAGAGGATGAAGGGGCCGTGGGAGCGATAGTGTCTGCGCTGAGCGATGCCGTGCGGGCCACTGGCGGTGCTGTGAGCTCCACGCATTTCACCGCGGGGGCTTTAAGGGCCAGCGCGCTGCTGCTGCTGCAGCACCTAGCAAAAGAGCCGATGGCAGCAGCGGCAATGGCTTCGGTGCCGGAAGCAGTGCCGCTGCTGGGGCAGCTGCTGGTGCTGGCTCTGCCTCAGGATGAGCATGAGGCGGTGGTGATGGTGCTCGGGGCTATGGCTGCGGATAAGGGGATGAGATGGCGGGTGCGGAAGCTGCGGCATCTGCTGCTGTGCATGAGGAGGTTGCTTCCCGGGGCTGATGCGGCCATTGCTGCTGCTGCCGCCGCTGCGAAATCAGCGGCGGCAGGAGGAGGCGGAGGAGTAGGAGGAGGAGGAACAGGGCTGCTTCAGCAGCAGCAGCAGGTGGGAGCGGGTGATGGGGCTGCTGCTGCTGGAGTGGCGGGTACGGGGCGGCTTGTGGGACGGGTGTTTGGTGGAGGGAGGAGGAGTAGTGGTGGTGGTGGGTCGTCTCTATTAGGTTCGTCCCTACTGGGTGGCGGTGTGAAGAAAGGAGGCCGATCCAGCCTCGGCCTGAATAGAAGCAAAGGGGCGGGTGGTGGTGCTGTTGCTGGTGGCAGTGGCAGCGGCAGTAGAGATGGCAAGGGGGGTTCGGATGGTGGCTCTGCTGCTGCTGCTCAGGCTGCTGCTGGTGGTGCTGCTGCTGCTGGTTCTGGTGCTGGTTCTGGTGGTTCTGGTGGTGCTGCTGGTGCTGCTGGTGCTGCTGCTGCTGCTGTTGGGGGTATGGGCATGGGGGGAGTGTCATGGGCGGACTACCTTCCAGATAACTCCGAAGGGGAAGAGGAGGAGGACGACAATGAGGAGGAACAGGGGAGCAACAAAGGAACTGCTGCAGCTGTGAGCAACAACAACAGCAACAGCAACAGCAACAGCAGCAGCAGCATCCGGCCTGGAATGAACATCTTTGGAGCTGTTTCAAGACCAAAGCCAAAGGCGAAGCCTTCCAGTGCCCCCTCCTCCGGAACCTTCAGTCTTCAGGACAACGCCAGCAACATCAATGACAGCAACAGCAGCAGCAGCAACAACAGCAGCAGCACAGGCCTTCACACTATCAACAGCACAGCCTCTTCCTTTAACTCATCCTCCACTTCCTCCGCATCCTCCACCTCCTCCCTCTCCTCCTCCTCTCTCTCCGCCTTTGGCCCTGCCGTGCGCCCCGCAATGCGCCCCCCTCCCCCTCCCGCCATTCTCGAAGCCAACTCCCTCCTCCTCTTCTCCTCCTCCGCCCGCCCCGCCTCCTCCATAGCCGTGCAAGAGGCAGTCCTACGTGGCGTCGCGGCATTGGCCGATCCCGACGACCCAGCAATGCAGCAAGAGGTAGCACGGCTGGGCTTCCTCCCTCTCGCCGTGCATCACCTGAGGGTCGGGCCCGACGCTCTCCGTATCCCCGCTGCCCGCTTGCTGGAAAACCTCTCTCTCTCCTCCCCACGCCTCTCCCGCCTCCGCGCTCTCGCCCACTCCTCCCCTGCCGCCGCCGCCGCTGCTGCTGGTGCTGCTGCTGGGCCTGGGCTTGGGCATGGGGTTGGGGCTGGTAACACAGTAGCAGGAGCGGGAAGAGCTGGGGCTGCTGCTGCTGCTGCTGCTGCTGCGCGAGGGGGGTTTGGACAGGGGTTGGTGGCGCCTGGAGTGTCTGGTTCAGGGATGAGGGGTCAGGCTAGTCAACACTGTTACTCAGGGCCGCTGAGCTCATGGCAGGAAGCAGAATCACCCGTGGGTGATGCTGATGCTGGAGGTGGGGGTGGGGGTGGAAGGGAGGGGAAGGATGTGGGAGTGGGAAAGGGAGTGGGTGCAGGTGTCGCTGGGGGGGACTTGAGAGGGGAGGCTGGTGCTGCAAGGGAGTCTGTGCCTAGCTGTGCTGCCAGTGATCCGCAAGTGGGGGCAGCGGCTGCTGCTGTTGCTATTAAGGCTGTGAACTGGCAGGGAGAAGGGGGAGAAGGTGGTCGAGAGGAGCCAGGAGCAGGAGGAGGAGGAGGAGGAGAACCAGGAGGAGGAGGAGGAGAAGCAGGAGGAGGAGATAAACGGGTGGGTGGGGAAGGGGTTAGCTTGAGGCAAGAGCTTGAGAACAGTGATGTGGAACAACAAAAAGAAGCTCAGCAGCAGCAGAGCACGAGTGGTGCGAATCCGGAAGGCTCAAGCACAGCCTGGAACTTCTTGGATGAGCACGAGAGTCCAAACCCTGCAGAACCGCAGCAACACGACAGCAAAAGAGCAGGCTCGATACTCAATAGCACACCCAACGCTCCGAGCGACAGCGGTGGCGTGGGTGGTGTGAGTGGCGTGAGTAGGGGGAAAGGGGTGAGGGCGCGGAGAGGAGGTCCTGCGCTGAACCTGCAAGTGGGTCAGCATTCCGCAGCAGCGCTGCTCTCCCCCCGCGTCTTCTTCCCCTTCCACACTGCCCTCTCCCCCCGCCAGTCCCCTTCCCCAACCTCCGTGGCAGCACAGCAACGAGGCGCAAAGGCTGGTGGAGCCGGGGTTCAGAGCTCTAGTGGAACGGGTGGGGGCGGTGTAAGTGGTGGTGGGGTTGGTGTGGCAGGTGGTGCGGCTGGTGGGGGTGGTGGCGGTAGTGCGGGTAAGCGTGGTCTCATTTCAAGGCACAGGAAGAGCAACAGCGGCAGTGCGTTTGACCTGTTTGGGAGCGGCACGCACATGCGAGGAGCAAGCGACTCCAGCAACGGCAGCTTGTTAACAGGGGGTCCCACCCTGTCAGCCTCCTTCCATCATGCATCCCTCGACTTCGGCCACCACTCCCAACCTCACGACAACCCTCTCAACCCTCTCACCCACATTCCCGACTTCAGCCTGGCAGAATCACCAGAATCAGCCAGCGCACAGGCACAGCTAAGCCCACTCCCTCCCACCGACCCCCACTCCTCCGCCTCCTCTACTTTCTCCACCCGCAGCCTCCTCTCACGCAACATGCGTCTCCCGTCCCTCCTCGCCCTCCCGCAGCTCTACCGCTCCTGCAAGGTCCACGGCGGCAAGTGCTCCCTCCCCACCACCTTCTGCCTTCTCGACGACAACCTAATCGACGTGCTGCTAGAGCTAGTCCGCCGCGCCACAAACAACGTCGCCGAGGTCTGCCTAGCCGCCGTCGCGAGCCTTCTCGCGGACGACGCGTGCCACGAGCGCTCGGCCGAGTTTCTGGTGAAGCGGGATGCGGTGGAGGTGGCGGCCACGATGGTGGGGCGGTCCAAGGAGCTCACGCGCGTGGGCGTGTATATCCTGGAGCGGATCTTCGCGTTTGGGAAGTTCCGCAAGCCCAAGTACTCGCAGCCGGCGGTGGCGGCGCTGGGGAGGTTCATGACGACGGCGTCTGGGCAGTCCAGGAAGACTGCTGCCGAGACGCTCATGCGGCTTGGGATACTGCCAAAGGGGTCGCTTACTATGGACTTGTGATGGGATGCGGTGGGATGGGATGGGAGGCGGTGGCGGCGCTGGGGAGGTTCATGACGACGGAGTCTGGGCAGTCCAGGAAGACTGCTGCGGAGACGCCCATGTGGCTTGAAATCCTGCCCAAGGGGTCACTCGCCACGGACCTGTGATGCGGTGGGATGGGATGGGATGCGGTGGATTGGGTTGGGTTGGGATGGGATGGGATGGGATGCGGTGGATTGGGTTGGGTTGGGATGGGATGGGATGTTGCAGAGAAACTGTTTCTTCTGCCGCCGTACCAGTACCGTACCGTACAACTGAGTTTGAGTTGCGTTGGAATTGAATGACCTGGTGATTTGGCAGGCAGGCAGGCAGGCAGATCCTGCTAGGTTGTTTGTCACGATATCGGTAGGGGGAAAAAAGGCCACTGGTACAGGACAGGATTATTGCAGCGAATGCTTCAAAGAGTTCAGTTGAGAAAGTGTGGACTGAACATGTTACATGGTCCTAGTAGTACCATCATACAGGATTCAGAGTACAGGAGTGCCTGTCCTGCCTGCCTGCATAGGGTAATTGGAAATGGAGTGTTGTCAAGTCCCTGCACTGCACTGTCTAATGTCCATGCCCTTCCTCCTTCCTTACCCCTCACAGATACGGTATATCCTAATCCTACTGTATCAGGAGATAGGCTTTTTTCCACCGCACTAAATTACAAGGCAAACTTGCACCAGACTGAACAATAAGTCTGAAATAAATCACAAGGCATTCTACATTTGCAAGAAACCATCTGTGTGGCAGGTACAGTATTTCTCCAAAAACTAATAAAGCATTCCTGTATGGCAGTGAACCGGCAGGCCTGCACTAGCAAGTGATCTCCACACCCATGGCAGCTTGCCGGGCAGCAAGGGCTCTCTTTGAAAAGAAGTAGCGTGTGGGGGGTCGATTCTTGAGGCGCCTCAGCAACTGCGGCAGTTTGAAGGCCAGCAGCAGCAGCACTGCCAGTGGAAGCAGCAGCAGCAGCAGCAGCAGGTTTTGAGGCACGTGGAGAGCAGACAGAGCCATCTCCATGACTGCTGTGCCTGGTGGCTCAGAGGGTGGGTTGGGTGTAGAAAGTGATTTTTTTCAGACTTCTCAAAAGCACAGTTTGAGGCGTGTGGAGAGTAGACAGAGCCATCTCCACGACTGCAGTGCCTGGTGGCTCAGGGACAGGGTTGGGGAAATAGAGAGTGATTTCCACGAAACGGATGGGCTACATACAAGCAGTGCGGATGGGCTCTACAGGCAGTGCGGCATGGGAGGTTGTGAGTTTACTGGCCCTCCACAGACAGACGGCCTTTGAGCAATCTGGTAACAGGTTTCGATTCATCAGAATAGGAAAGCAGGCATCAGCCAGCGAGGGCATTAGCAGCAGCAGGCATACCGTGGGAGATGCACGTGCCAGGCTTTGTCCCTGGCGTGTACCCCTCATCACAGACGCACTGGCCCTCGGGTTCAATAGAGGGGAGTTCGGAACGATCAGGCTTGAAGGAGCACACGCCATGGCCGCTGCACGGCGGGGTGAGCGGCTGCGCCCCACAGAACGCCCGGCACTCGCTGGCTCGCCTCTGCCTCTGATCAGAGCCGCAGAAGACTGAGTCGTTCGCAAGGCAGTTGCGGCTGAACAGACACAAGCTGTGGTAGTCTGCAGGATTGTCTAGGCCGGTGGCGTCGAAAGGGACAGCGTCTGCTGTGGCTGTGAGGTAGTTGTGGTCTGCAGACAGCCCGTATTTCGAGGCGAGACGGGCCATGTGGTAGAAAGAGGGCAGCTCTCCCGTAAGCTGGTTGCGGTCAAGCCAACTGTGAGGCGGGAAGAGGTGGGAAGAGGTGGGAAGAGGTGGGAAGAGGTGGGAAGGCAGAGGAGTGGCTGACGAGGTTGGCAGTCGTCAAGTCCAGACGCAGCCTTCGGCAAGCAGAAAGGGAGAGAGGTGCGAGTCGCGGAAAACAGGCTAGTACAGGCGGTAAAGGTGGTCGTTTTACAGGGAAGAAGAGATGGGTAGCAGTAGTGCTGACTGTTGTGGGTGGCTGAAGGGAGGGGACGTGTGAGTCGCAGAAAACGAGGTGCTGCGAGCAGTAAGCTCTTGGCGAGGAGCGCGAGTCCGAAGAAAACGAGATGCTGCAAGCAGTAAGTGTGGCGTTTCAGAGAGAAGAAGAGATGTTGTTGGAGATGAGTGCACGTGGTGACTGCAGCTGGTGACTGCAGCTGGTGACTCGACAGACATGCCTTTAGAGTTGATTCATCAGCAGGCAACACAACCAGGCTGCTTGTAAGTATAGTCAACCACTCCACCATTCAGGGATGACACTTGGGTGTTGGGACGACCGAGGCGGTAACACTGACAGGTATTCGAGATTAGTGAGCGTGGTGATTGCAGCAGGTATCGTCCCTGCAAGGCGATTCTCGCTGAGGCCCCTGAAGACAGGTGGGTGGATGGATGGACATGGAGGGAAGGAGAGAAGAAGAGGGGAAGAGGTGACAAGAAGAGATGAAGAGGGAAAGAGAGGAAGAGGATAAGAGGAGAAGAGGGGAGAAGGAGAGGAGGAGAAGAGAAGAGGAGAAGCAAAGAAAAGAGGAGACGTGTGTGCCTTGAGAACACACACCCGTACCAGTGGACGAAATTGAGGTCAACGCAAAGTGCTCCGTACTCTCATATTCAATGCCTTCGTCTCCTCTCCCTCCCTCTCCCTCCGACCCTCATCCTACTCACATCCTACTCACCCTCTCAAACCCCCAATACTTGGCGGAGAGAGGCAGGCAGAAAGAAGGGATGGAGAGAGGGGTTGGAGGGCAGGGAGAATGGGCGCACAGGGTGGTGAGTGCGGTGAGGTGGGTAATCCAGGTGGGAATGGTGCCACTCAACCTGTTGCTGTGCAGCTCCCTGCCATGGCATGGCATGGGATGGCATGGCATGGCATGGCATGGCATGGCATGGCATGGCATGGCATGGCATGGCATGGCATGGGATGGGATGGGATGGGATGGGATGGGATGGGATGGGATGGGATGGGATGGGATGGGATGGGATGGGATGGGATGGGATGGGATGGGATGGGATGGGATGGGATGGCATGGCATGGCATGGCACAGACGGGCAGGCCACTAGCCCATAGGGATGCATCCACTCATTTTCTCAAGCACAAATTCCCTCAGTCACTCACCCTCTCATCCCCTCACCCACTCACTCACTCACACCTTCACCATGTCACTGACTCGCCCACCCTCTCTCGCGGCCTCTCACTCTCCCACTCACTCGCTCATTGAGGGGACCTATCAGGCTACCACACCGGATCATCCCACAGCACCTTCCATGCCTACCCCATCACCACTCACAACTCCTGCAGCTGCTTGAGACTGCTGATTGCCTCTGGAATGGAGCCTGAGAGATTGTTGCGGTTAAGATTCCTGGAGCATGGCGAGGGTGGGCAGAGGGCAGAGAGGGGAAGGTTTAGGGTTTCGGGTTTAGCATTGAACGCAGGGAGGTGGAAGGCAGGGAAAGGGAGTGAAATGATGATTAAGAGGAGTGAATGCAGGGGTGAATGGAGGGCACCACTGCAGTGGAGGATGGGTGGGAGAAGTGCAGAGCTCTTTTCTTCTATTGCTGCGACATGGTGTCTTTTCGTTTCTTGTGCAACAAGGTGTGATGTGTCATGTGTCATGTGTGATGTGTCTTGTGCCGTGTGTCTCATGTGTGATATGTAGTGTGTCATGTGTCATGTGTCGTGTGTCATGTGTCGTGTGTCATGTGTCGTGTGTCATGTGTCGTGTGTCATGTGTCGTGTGTCATGTGTCGTGTGTCATGTGTCAAGTGTCATGTGCCGTGTGTCGTGTGATTGCTTTACAGCTGACTGGGAGGTGGAGGGAGAATGGGCGCACAGGGTGGTGAGTGCGGTGAGGTGGGCAATGCAGGCGGGAATGGTGCCACTCAGCCTGCTGTCCTGCAGCTCCCTGCCATGGCATGGCATGGGATGGGATAGCATGGGATGGCATGGGATGGCATGGGATGGGATTGATTGTAGATGCACAGAGAGGGAGCGATTAGCGCATGCATCGGTTAAACGTGTTTTGCATGCCTCTTGCACCCTCCCATGCAAACATGCACGCACACCACACGCGCCAACAAACACAAAACCCAGAATCTTCTATCTACCCCACCCACGCACGCACCCGACAATCCCTAACGAGCACACAGGCATGGGCGACCACAGGCCAGCCCACGCACACCCACGTGAAAGAAGAGTGCTTTGGAGACGTCTCAAAAACACAGGCATGGGCGACCACAGGCCAGCCCGCGCACACCACCACCACAACCACAAGCCCATGCACAACAGCATGATGTGCTGAAGCGTGCGTGATGAGGTGGATGGGGGGGATGGGGGGGATGGGTGGGATGGGGGGGATGGGGGGGATGGGGGGGATGAGCTACAGCATGTGTGAATGTGGTGCATCCAACACTGGGCATCCCTATTCGCATCCCACTAGCAACATTGCGCATCCCTCGCTCTTCCTTACAGGTCTTCCAGGTTGGTGAGCGCTCCTATTGCCTCGGGGATGGACCCTGAAAGCTCCTCCTCCTGAAGGACTCTGCGATCAAGTGCGGCCCAGTGCGGTGAAGTGTGGCACAGAGAGGAGCGGTGGAGGTGGATTAAGGCGTGGGAAAGGTGATATCACGGATGGCCCCACACGCACTGGGAGTGCACTGCAGCACCAGCAGTGCAGATACTGTCAGTGCATGTGTCTGCTTTATATGTGTGTCTGCTCTGTATGTGTCTGCTCTGTATGTGTCTGCTGTGCGTGTGCCTTGCAGTGCACCACTCACAGCTTCCGCAGCTGCTTGAGGCTGCTGATTGCCTCTGGTATGGAGCCTGAGAACTTGTTTCTAGAAATAGTCCTGGCGCATGGAAACCATTAGGGGAGACCATTAGGGGGAAGCAGGGAGGAGGGTAGCGAAGAGAGGGGAAGGAGATTAAGTGTAGAGGGAAGGCCGGAAGGGAAGGAATGGATAAGAGGAGCGGACTAGAATGGCATGATGGGCTATGTTAAGAGTGAGAAGAATGCAAGTGAGACACGAAGGAGGTGACAAGCGCTCACATTCCATGGAAAGGGATGTTTGATGGCAGATGGTGCATGGCAGATGGTGCATGGCAGATGGTGCATGGCAGATGGTGCATGGCAGATGGTGCATGGCAGATGGTGCATGGCAGATGGTGCATGGCAGATGGTGCATGGCAGATGGTGCATGGCAGATGGTGCATGGCAGATGGTGCATGGCAGATGGTGCATGGCAGATGGTGCATGGCAGATGGTGCATGGCAGATGGTGCATGGCAGATGGTGCATGGCAGATGGTGCATGGCAGATGGTGCATGGCAGATGGTGCATGGCAGATGGTGCATGGCAGATGGTGCATGGCAGATGGTGCATGGCAGATGGTGCATGGCAGATGGTGCATGGCAGATGGTGCATGGCAGATGGTGCATGGCAGATGGTGCATGGCAGATGGTGCATGGCAGATGGTGCATGGCAGATGGTGCATGGCAGATGGTGCATGGCAGATGGTGCATGGCAGATGGTGCATGGCAGATGGTGCATGGCAGATGGTGCATGGCAGATGGTGCATGGCAGATGGTGCATGGCAGATGGTGCATGGCAGATGGTGCATGGCAGATGGTGCATGGCAGATGGTGCATGGCAGATGGTGCATGGCAGATGGTGCATGGCAGATGGTGCATGGCAGATGGTGCATGGCAGATGGTGCATGGCAGATGGTGCATGGCAGATGGTGCATGGCAGATGGTGCATGGCAGATGGTGCATGGCAGATGGTGCATGGCAGATGGTGCATGGCAGATGGTGCATGGCAGATGGTGCATGGCAGATGGTGCATGGCAGATGGTGCATGGCAGATGGTGCATGGCAGATGGTGCATGGCAGATGGTGCATGGCAGATGGTGCATGGCAGATGGTGCATGGCAGATGGTGCATGGCAGATGGTGCATGGCAGATGGTGCATGGCAGATGGTGCATGGCAGATGGTGCATGGCAGATGGTGCATGGCAGATGGTGCATGGCAGATGGTGCATGGCAGATGGTGCATGGCAGATGGTGCATGGCAGATGGTGCATGGCAGATGGTGCATGGCAGATGGTGCATGGCAGATGGTGCATGGCAGATGGTGCATGGCAGATGGTGCATGGCAGATGGTGCATGGCAGATGGTGCATGGCAGATGGTGCATGGCAGATGGTGCATGGCAGATGGTGCATGGCAGATGGTGCATGGCAGATGGTGCATGGCAGATGGTGCATGGCAGATGGTGCATGGCAGATGGTGCATGGCAGATGGTGCATGGCAGATGGTGCATGGCAGATGGTGCATGGCAGATGGTGCATGGCAGATGGTGCATGGCAGATGGTGCATGGCAGATGGTGCATGGCAGATGGTGCATGGCAGATGGTGCATGGCAGATGGTGCATGGCAGATGGTGCATGGCAGATGGTGCATGGCAGATGGTGCATGGCAGATGGTGCATGGCAGATGGTGCATGGCAGATGGTGCATGGCAGATGGTGCATGGCAGATGGTGCATGGCAGATGGTGCATGGCAGATGGTGCATGGCAGATGGTGCATGGCAGATGGTGCATGGCAGATGGTGCATGGCAGATGGTGCATGGCAGATGGTGCATGGCAGATGGTGCATGGCAGATGGTGCATGGCAGATGGTGCATGGCAGATGGTGCATGGCAGATGGTGCATGGCAGATGGTGTTCATGGCAGATGGTGCCATGGCAGATGGTGCAATGGCAGATGTGTGCATGGCAGATGGTGCATGGCAGATGGTGCATGGCAGATGGTGCATGGCAGATGGTGCATGGCAGATGGTGCATGGCAGATGGTGCATGGCAGATGGTGCATGGCAGACTGGTGCATGGCAGATGGTGCATGGCAGATGGTGCATGGCAGATGGTGCATGGCAGATGGTGCATGGCAGATGGTGCATGGCAGAGGGTGCATGGCAGGATGGTGCATGGCCAGATGGTGCATGGCAGATGGTGCATGGCAGATGGTGCCATGGGCAGATGGTGCATGGCAGATGGTGCATTGGCAGATGGTGCAGGCAGATGGTGCATGGCAGATGGTGCATGGCAGATGGTGCATGGCAGATGGTGCATGGCAGATGGTGCATGGCAGATGGTGCATGGCAGATGGGCATGGCAGATGGTGCATGGCAGATGGTGCATGGCAGATGTATGGTGCATGGCAGATGGTGCATGGCAGGATGGTGCATGGCAGATGGTGCATGGCAGATGGTGCATGGCAGATGGTGCATGGCAGATGGTGCATGGCAGATGGTGCATGGCAGATGGTGCATGGCAGATGGTGCATGGCAGATGGTGCATGGCAGATGGTGCATGGCAGATGGTGCATGGCAGATGGTGCATGGCAGATGGTGCATGGCAGATGGTGCATGGCAGATGGTGCATGGCAGATGGTGCATGGCAGATGGTGCATGGCAGATGGTGCATGGCAGATGGTGCATGGCAGATGGTGCATGGCAGATGGTGCATGGCAGATGGTGCATGGCAGATGGTGCATGGCAGATGGTGCATGGCAGATGGTGCATGGCAGATGGTGCATGGCAGATGGTGCATGGCAGATGGTGCATGGCAGATGGTGCATGGCAGATGGTGCATGGCAGATGGTGCATGGCAGATGGTGCATGGCAGATGGTGCATGGCAGATGGTGCATGGCAGATGGTGCATGGCAGATGGTGCATGGCAGATGGTGCATGGCAGATGGTGCATGGCAGATGGTGCATGGCAAGATTGGTGCATGGCAGATGGTGCATGGCAGATGGTGCATGGCAGATGGTGCATGGCAGATGGTGCATGGCAGAGATGGTGATGGCAGATGGTGGATGGCAGACTGGTGCCATGCGCAGATGGTGCATGGCCAGATGGTGCATGGCAGATGGGCATGGCAGATGGTGCATGGCAATGGTGCATGGCAGATGGTGCATGGCAGATGGGTGCATGGCAGATGGTGCATGGCAGATGGTGCATGGCAGATGGTGCATGGCAGATGGTGCATGGCAGATGGTGCATGGCAGATGGTGCATGGCAGATGGGTGCATGGCAGATGGTGCATGGCAGATGGTTCATTGGCAGATGGTGCATGGCAGATGGGGCATGGCAATTGGGCCTGGCAGATGGTGCATGGCAGATGGGTGCATGGCAGATAGGTGCATGGCAGATGGTGCATGGCAGTATGGTGCATGGCAGATGGTGCATGGCAGATGGTGCATGGCAGATGGTGCATGGCAGATGGTGCTGGCAGATGGTGCATGGCAGGATGGGCATGGCAGATGGTGCATGGCAGGA